AATTTCTGCATGTCATCTTACCAGATGATCTATAACCCGGAAGATAAATTGATGATCTATAACCCGGAAAAAACCCTAATCCAGAATCGAAGTCCCGACAAGTCCGGATTACGGACTTTGTACTGTATTACAATAATTATTAATTTAAAATATATTTCCCAGACATCAATCAAAGTAAAAATTGAAATTTTTCTAGAAAATCTTATTTGTCTTAGGAACATTTGGCACTCCTGTGTAAGAGGTACCTAGGCATGATAGCACTTTTAATTTTTTAAGATATTAAAATCTTTGTTTAGTTATTTATATGGTACCTAGGTTAATTTTAAGTGCACAGAAACAAAAAGAGATTCTGCAGAGAAAGAGATGTCATTCAGTGGCTGGCATCCTCTTGACAAAGTAAAAGTCACTGAGTGAGAATACAGCTTTTTACATGTGTATTTTTATTTCCACTTCATTCGTTCTCTATTAAAAGTTCCTTTTGCCATTTTGTTCACTGGCATTACCATGTTGATTTTTAAAATGTTTTAATTTTTATAATTTAAAAAAAAAGGATTTTTTTTTTAAATTTTCACCTTCAATATCATTACTTCTTCTACTCTTTGCGAAATTTGACCAGTGTTTAATAATTTGGTTTCTAATGTACTAGTTCTCAGATTTGTGAGAAGTCTAAATTTTACCCTCAAGTGTAATTAACTCTGAAGCCGCTGGTACAGCAGTTGTACAAGGAGAATGACTTTCTCAGACGCCGGCATCGGTACAACTGTCGTACCATCCATGCCCTCCCCATTTTAGAGAATCGCCTATCTGTAGATCTTTGGGTGGTCCATTGTCGCTGCTCAGAGTAGCCGCTGGCTACGCATTATTTCCCTCTTCTTATCAGTTTAGCTACATTTTGGCAAAAACCGCAGGTTTCGTCTCGCGCCAATATACTTGAAAATTAAATAGAGGCCATCTCTTTCTCAATCTGTCTCATAATTTTAATGCTATTTTTTTTTAGTACTGACTTTTGCTATGATTAAAACGTCAGCGATTTTGCACGCTCTTTAAGCTTACCATATTTAATGTTCTTTAATCATAACAAATAAGAATAGATTAATATTTTAGATTTAATGCCCTTCTAGAAAATAGGTAAAACCGTTTTTATCGTTTACTCGTTTACTTCCTTTTCATACTTAATAATAAGATTTTATTTTGACATTGTTTTGTGGAGTGCATAAAACCCTTAAGAACTGTCAACTCTTTCAAAGTGCTTCTATTATGCAGGCAATTTTGTCTGATTTATCAGGAGATAAATAAGAGACAATTGTATGCATAATAGTTTTTCTGATTTTCATTCATTCAGTGATTGCTTTCAATGATTTTCATTGATTGTAAATTAAATAAAATCAATTTATCTTTACACCCTCTTTTAGGATGAGATCTGCCAAAAAATATTTAAATATCAGTAAAGCTCACGTTACTTCTAAACTGAATCAAAACATCAGTTAAATGTTATAAAATTTTGGCCAGTTTTATTTGCTGAAATTCTTATACTCTTCAAGAGATAGAGAGAATTCAGACAAGTTGATAAAAAAAAATATCTTAAAAAAGTTGTTATTTTGTCTGTAATAAGGTGTATGTCAACTTACTACTAAATGTATGAAAATTAGGATTGGATTACGGAAAAGCACGCGAACGCTATCTGCTTAAGGGAATGGATGCTTTCGTGTAAACCTTTTTAAGAGAAAATTGCTCGCATTTACATTCCTGGTGGAAAACTCCACATGTAATCAACCCGTTCTTCGGTATTGATTGGATTAATTTGTTCGCTTACTGAATTACATCAAAGCACCCAACGATTACCTGTATAAGGGGAGTTATGTCTTCGCGGAGGACTTTCTAAGAGAAGCTGGCTTGCATTTACGTTACACAAAAACCATGACTCCAACTATTTATCCGGGATTCAAATCCAAGCGAGCTATAAGTGTTCAGCCACCTTTACCGCTTTACTGAAGAGCAGGTAAAAAATATTGATAAAGGAAAAGTATTGAATTAACCGGTTTAATTTACTAACCTATATTTCTCAATCGACAGTACATAAATTACGCATATGAGAGGGGATTATTTGTGAATAAATAAACTGTATTGCACTTTTATCCACTATGTCATATTACAATGGAATTATTGCATTTCAAAGTTATTTCTCATGAATTAATTTTGCTCTTCATGATTTTTGATATTTTCAAAGAGAAAATTCCACACTTTAAATAAAAATATACACGAGAAGATACTTTATGCACAATTTGGCGTAAACGGTTTTCTTAATTTTGCTTTGAAAATATTGCAGGGTAATCGTTTTCATTACTGGAAGAAATATAAAAAACAAATTTACTACATGGTATCAACACCCAATATTTCCTTATTCTTTTGAAAACGTGAAAGATTACTCTTTCTAAAATAAATTGGAAAATATATTATGTGCAAATAGAATATTCGTTGAAAATGAAATAGACTTCAACTTTTGGATATAACGATAGTTTTAGACGAAAATTTCTACCTATGGAAAGAAATTGACGTATAATTAATTCTTCATGAACATTTAAAACTGTTCTCAAAATTCTTTTGATGATTGATGATGATTGCATGTATAAGTCACGAATTTTTTTCTCGGCTAACATAAACAAAAGCCAATTTTACAAAGAAAAATTCTCGTTAAAGATATACCTTCTTTGCCTGATAGTCCAATGCAATATTTGTTAAAATTAATTATTAAACGCAACCAATGTATCTCGGATTTTATTTTTTATATTATAATAACAAAATTATCGAAAAAAGCAGATTTAAATCTCTGTTATTGTTATGTAAAGCTTTATTATTGCTGTAAGTTCATCTCAAAATCTATTTGTATTGAATCTCATTCTAATCATCTAATGGTAATAAATATTATTATTATTATTTCATTAAATTAGTCATTACCATTATTTTATTAATGAAAATATGTTATTAAAAATCGCATTCCGGCCTGCAGACTTACAGATCTAGTCTGTATTTACTATATTTTGTTAAATTTTGTTCTCGCTTGCTAATTTCTAATACGAAAATACGCGAATATAAATGAAGAGTGAAAACAAAGTTAAAAAATTCACAAATTATTTACGAGATTGATTAGAAATAGTGAATGAAATATAAACATTGCATACATTTTGTTCTAAATAAAGTGTGCACTGGATATGCATCCAGTACTGCACATTTATTTCACTTTTATTTAAATTTTGCTTTCATGAAAGCAAAATAATCATCGAAAAAAAATTGCAAATCTAGCAACTCCTCTACTATGGGACGTAGGCGTCCGACAAACATGTAAATTTTACTTCATCCATGGAGGGGAACTGACGACTTTTCTCATTAGGAAAATGTCAAAGAGGGGGCAAAACTGTTTCGATTGCGTCTGAACTATAATATGAGAATTTGGCCGGTTAAGTTATAGGTCTCTTAGAACCTATTGTAAATAATTTTGTTCAGTTTATTCATTAAAATTTCCAGACCTTGAACAGGCAAGGCTTAGCGTGCGCTAAGACCTTACTCGCATATGAATGTGCGCAAGTGCAGAATATGTTTTCGCGTACGCGTTTTATGTATAATGGACGTATAAGCTAAAATTATCTAATTATCTATTTCAGTTAATGTTGATGATTGCGTTGTTCCTTAATTTTTGAATTGGATCTTGCTTATTATTTTTTACAGACTGTAACAGCAATTTTATAAAAGTAAGCTTAAACTTTCGATTATATCGAATAGAATTTCCGATATATATTTGTTAATATGTAAAGGATCTAAAGCGAAAGTATGTTTTGAAATCCGAAATCTGTTTATCAATTTCACGCTGCTCGGCGGGGGAAACGCCGCGGCGGGCGCGTAATGAATTGGAAGTTGATCTGTCAGCACTATCCTTATCTTCAGCGCAGATGTTTTTATTTTATTTGGCTTATAATTCCTTACCCTAAATGTAGTAGTTCATCTCGATATGCTCCGTCTTTGATATGATTTAAAACAAGTTCCTCGTCATTATAATTCGCTTCCGATAGCAAAGAAAGTGACAGAGGTTATTGAAAACGAAAAAATTTCGATTGACAAATTAGTCGGTGTTCTCGGCACAGTAATTATAGGACTTGAACAGCAGAACTTTGTAACTGAACAAGAAATTATGTCTGTTTAATAGAATTAAAGAGAAAGTATTATCACATGAAACGAAGCAAAACTTAAACAACTTACATTGAAAGAAATGTTTAATAAAGTAAACAAATAAATATTAAGCTTTTTCTTTTTGCAAATTTTGATACCCTTTAGATCATAATTGTTCTTTATTTCATAAATTACGGTTTCATATTTTTAATTTTAGAATTTCTGCATGCCATCTTACAAGATTTAAACTGATGATCTATAATCCGGAAAAATCAATAATCCGGATTCACCGAAGTCCCGACGAGTCCGGATTAACGACTTTTGACTGTAATAATAGTGTTTTGTGGCAATAGAGATTGCTGCAAACAATGCTTCGTTATAATATTCCAAAAATCGAGTAGGAAGTAAATAGAAAATTACAAATGAATTGTTTTATGATATAGAAGTTATGCTGCCTATAAGAGGTACAAACATACGTAAAAATCATGAGGAAGTTGTAATTAATTAGCCTTGGACATCTGTATCCTTTAAGCGAGGGTAGCCAGCAGATTATGTTGATTTTAGGCAGAGCTGTTACAAAAAGTAGCATGCTATGAATACATCAAAAAGAAATCTTAGATTCAGATTTAATATTGACAATTATGATTGATATTATGCATGTAAGACTCTTCTAATGAATGTTTATTGCTGTATTACTTTTCGCAATTTATATTTTGTTATATATGCACACTAGACACTAAAATGCATTTATACAATTATAACAACAATTTAAAGGAGAAATGTAATTAATTCTAATTAAATTTATAAAAGCTTACACATTAACAAAATTTCACTTTTACCTGTATAGAGGTTGGAACACATGAAATCACCAAACTTTCTTTCTTTATCTTAGAAGCTAAACAGAATAAAGAATAAATTTAAATAATTTTAAAATATAAATAATTTTTAAACTTCCATTAAAATATTTTTTTTACACAATCATACAACAGAAACATTGACAACATCATCAGTATTTCAGACACTAGCAGATTATAAAGTGAAGTTTTCAAAGCATAGTATTTTAATTCACATATTAGACTAAAAGAAATGTTATATATTACTTAATATAAAATATACTTACCTCCAAGTATAAAACTATAATAACTTAATATAATTTTAATTTGGAACCAAGTGCTTTTTTTAATTATATAAATACAGTATCAATTAAAGTATCAAAATATTTGTGTCTTAGAAAGGTCATCATTTGTGAACTTAAATAATTAGGTTTGTCAAAAATATAATATGTACAAGTTTGAAAGCAGTTGATTTACAAACCTAAGTGTTCAACAGCATAAATTATAGTTGATCCACTCCCAATTCCAACAGAACAATTTTTCTGAAAATAAACATTTATAAAGAATAAAAAGTGCTATACCTAAAAATCTGATTATAAAATACAGTATAATACAATAAAAAAGCTTCATCTAAAAATATAATAGTTAGTCAGTATTCTCGACACAGCAATTACAGGACTTGAACAGCAGAACTTTGTAACTAAACAAGAAATTATGGCTGTTTATAGAATTAAAGACAAAGAGTATTAGCACATAAAATGAAGCAACTTAAACAACTCACATTGAAAGAAATGTTTAATAAAGTAAACAAATAATTAAGTTTTTTTTTTTTTTTTTTTTTTTTTTTTTTTTTTTTTTGTAAATTTTGATACCCTTTAGATCATAATTGTTCTTTATTTCATAAATTATGGTTTGATATTTTTAATTTTATAATTTCTACATGCCATCTTACCAGATTTAAATTGATGATCTATAATCCGGAAAAAACCCTAATCCGGAATCGCCGAAGACCCGACGAGTCCGGATTAAAGACTTTGTAATGTATATATCAGAGTATTGCACAATAAACTACATGGAATGTGAAATCCTATACTCCTCTCTAATGATAGGAGGGAAAAATACTTCTGAAAAATGCAGTACTTATGTACTTATGTATTATTGCTATCATCTTAAATTGATAAAGCTTCAGATTACACCAAACTCTGGTAATCACACATATAACAATTATACAGGCAACCATGTGCATGACAAATATTCAGCTTCCAAGCATCACCACTTTCATATGCATTCTTTTTGTTGTATTCCAAGAGCTTTTATAGAAAAATTGCGATTATATTTTGCCTTGTGCTCAGTTTTAAAATATGTGTTTGCAGGACTTTGCAATAACAGAAGAGAGGTGAAATTTCCACAGGAATACATTATTTTGTCGCAAAATCGCTATAGGAACAATGCTTCAAATCCTTTCTCAAAGCTATAGCTAGGAATTTCCACTGCAACAAAAACCCATTTACAACTAGGTTTTTGTCTTTTGGAAAAAATATATACAGTCAAAAGTCGTTAATTCGGACACCCATAATACGGAATGATCTATAATCCAGACCTCAAAGCTACAAACTTTCTGCTCATGCGTCGCGCTGAAGCATGCGCATAGGCATTTTACGCATGCGCGTAAGACATTTACGGCTGCGAATATGCGTGTGCGCATGCGCATAATACGTTTACGCATGCGCGTTTAATGTATAATGGATGGTACAAGCTAAGCTAAAATTATCTAATTCAGTTAATGTTGCAGATTGCGTTGTTCCTTAATCTTTTGAATTGGATCCGGCTTATTATTTTTTGCAGACTGTTAGAGCAATTTTATAAAAGTAAGCTTGAACTTTCGATTATGTCAAATAGAATTTCCGATATATATTTACTAATATGTAAAGGATCTACAAAGCAAAAGTATGTTTCGAAGTCCATTAAACAGAAAGTGGAATTGCTGCAAAAAGTGGATAAAGGTATATCCTTTGATTATCTAATCATTCCGAAATATGTTTATCAATTTCATGCTGCTCTCTTTTTTAAACTACCTTTAGGTTCACATCATCTGTGAATTATCCTGGTAAACTATATTAATGGTTTGCAGTTTGTAATAAACATGAATATGCAAAGCATGACAATTTAATGCTGTTACACTTTCTGTGGGTTTGTATGAAAAATCTTGTTATTTAAAAAAAAAAAGTATATTCTTCTACAGAAGTTGACACCATAATGAATTCTTCTATTGCAGTTATCATACTGCATACAGTTTAATCATATAGCTTCACATAAATCAAATCTGACACTCTTTTATTTCTAAAACTATTAAACAGCAAATGTAGAATCTTTAAACATTGCATTCTTCTTTGGTCGAGGGTGGTCTATATTTTGAGGTGTTCCTTGGACTATCGCCAAGATGTTGTTTCATTTATGGTATTTTTCAAATAGTTCATTTACGGTATTTTTATAGTAAGCTTTATTTATGATATGTTTTTTTTAATGGTTCGTTTTAGTTTATTTATGCAGTCAAAAATCTTTAATCCGGACTCGTCGGGACTTCGGCGATTCCGGATTATCGATTTTTCCGGATTATACACTGACTACCAATAAGTATTTGGACACCTGTGATAGAAAAGAAAAACTAACTTTATTCAAAATCAATAGTTGGTAGAGCCTAAACGAGAGGTAATTACAGCGTGGACCCTCCGGGGTATACTTTTCACAAGTCTTTGTATGACAGCTAGTGGTATTTTCTCCCACTCGGCTTGGAGAAGACATAGAAGTTCCTTCACCAATTTTGCACGGGTAGTGCACCCCTGAATTCAGTGATGAAACTCGTCCTAGAGCTTCTTGATAGGGTTCAGGTCTGGACTCTGGGCAGGCCAGTCCATTTGATGAACTCCATTAGCACCATACCAAGCCTTGGTTAACGTCAAAAGATGACAACTGGCATTGTCGTCCTGAAAGTAACAGGGGCCAACCCGTAAAACTGCCACTACTTAGGAAGCACATTGTCATCCAAAATAGTGCAGTAGGCATCGGAGTTGAGCTTACCGTGAATGGGGACCAAGGGTCCCAGCCCATACCAGGAGAAACACCCCCAGACCATAATTCCACCTCCGCCGAACTTGACTGTTGGCACAATGCATTCTGGTAGGAGACGTTCTCCAGGTAGACGCCAGACCCAGACCCTGCCATCCGAACGGTAAAGGGTGAACCTTGATTCGTCACTCCAAAGAACCCGTTTCCACTGATGTACGATCGATGTGCTTTGCACCACATTAACCGAGCAGCACAGTTGGACTTTGTGATCAAAGGCTTTTAGGCAGCAGCACAACCATGAAAACCAAGCAGATGTGCTTCCTTATGGATGGTATTCATTGAAACAATACTCCTGGATGCCTGTTGAAACTCCTCGCAGATGAGGGCCATTGGTTGGGTGCAGTTCTTTCGAATTTCTCTGGACAGCACTCGTCGGTCTCTATCTCCCAGTTTCGTTGGTCTGCCGACTCGGGGCACATTCCGAAAATCATCGTTCACCTTCCACTTCTTAATCACATAGGCCACTGTCGATTTTGGGTACTTCAGATCGCTAGATATGTCCCTTAAGGATCGACCACATTTGTGATACCCGATAATTATACCTTTCTCGAAATCAGAGAGCTCTGAACTGTGAGGCATCTTACATGCGACTAAAGCCAATGCTGTTTCCTACACGATATATACCGGCGGAGTCCGTGACATACCTTAGGACCGCAGATATCGTCATTTGCATAGGTGTCCAAATACTTATTGGTAGTCAGTGTAGATCATCAGTTTAAATCTGGTAAGATGGCATGCAGAAATTATAAAATTAAAAATATGAAACCATAACTTATGAAATAAAGAACAATTATTATCTAAAGGATATCAAAATTTACAAAAAAAAAAAGCTTAATAGGTTGATCTTTACAATATGGTAACTGGTAGTTTGGTGACATTTTGGAGGCGATAAAGGACCTGGGACTTTGGTAATAATGTAAGCAGTACTCAGTTCCGATTACGCATTATTTTGTGTGAGGGGAAATGAGAGATCATGAGATATGGCATGTGACATTAATGGACAAATAAATTACAGGTTCTTTAATCGGAAAAGGGGATAAATTTGGACAAAACATCTGCAGTACTATAGCTGCATTTGTATTAAGCTTCATTGTGTGTTGTGCGAAGTAGGGTTGAATTAATTTTTGGATCGCATGGCGCTATCTAAAGTGAATTGTAGATGTGGATAAAGAGAATTTTTTTTTTATATCAAATTCTATCAAATTCGGAAAAAAAAACGTTCAGTAATTTTATTGAATCCATAATAAGTGTATCCACCATGTAAGGAAGATTCGGAAGAAGATTAGGTTAGTTAGACTTTGTTAAGAATGTGAGTAGTATTCAGTCTGATTACGCATTATTTTGTGTGAGGGAAATGAGAGATCATGGGATATGTTATGTGATATTGATGGACGAATTACTGTTCTTTAATTGGGAAAAAATCTGGCAATTTTGTATTTGGCTTATTCTGTGTGTGTGAAATAGTGTTTGTGAATTTTTGGATCCCATGGCCGTAACTAAAGTGAATTCGAAATGGGTATTTAGTGGTATTGAAAAGGATAGTAATAAATGTTTTTTAAGGTTGTGCGAGAGAGAAATAAAGATGTTTTATTATGTTATTATTTTACCTGGTATCTTGCTTTGAAAGATAAGTATGATTTTAAAGATTCTGAAACAGAAGTAAGAAAAGTGTATCCGCCACGTAATCAAGATTCTGAAGGTAAGTTAGTATTTTTAATTATTTGAGGATATTATTTTTATGCATTGTTGTAAATGTAAGGTGGAAAGGAATTTGGTATTATTGGGAAATTGTTATTAGCAATGATTTAGTTTAAAGTAAAGTAATTAGGATTGTAAGGTAATTTTTATTAATTTAATGTATGTGCTCATTTAGTTAGTGTTTTTGAATTTAATTATATTTTAATGAAATGATAGTTATTTTGTGAATTTTATGTTTGTAGGAATTTGGTATACGTTTAAGTTGAAATAAACGTGCATGGAAATAATTTAAATATTTGATATTAAGTATTTGTAATGCTTGAGGTATGAATTCGTTGGTGACGTGTATAATGTAATAGATGATTTAGAGGTAAAAGTTTTTGGATATTCTATTTATTTTACATGTGGAAATGTTGATATTTGTAAAGGGTAAATACTTTTTCGCGATTATGTAATTTCATATATGTCATATATGTTCTTTTTACCGGGTTTAAAGATTGAGAAAATTGTCATGTATTATCGTGAAATTTTTTTAATTTATGAGAAAAAAGCAGTGTACATGGATATAGTGAAGAGTGTGCGCAATGCCATTTTTGTGCAATTCTGGGATGTTTTTTTAAGTAAAAATAAGTCAACGTGTACATGGTTTAGTGATATTTTAATGAAATGATAGTTATTTTGTGAATTTTATGCTTGTAGGAATTTGGTATACGTTTAAGTTGAAATAAATGTGCATGGAAATAATTAAAATATTTGATACTAAGTATTAGTAATGCTTTCGGTATGAATTCGTTGGTGACGTGTATAAAGTAATAGATGATTTAGAGGTAAAAGTTTTTGGATATTCTATTTATTTTACATGTGGAAATGTTGATATTTGTAAAGGGTAAATACTTTTTCGCGATTATGTAATTTCATATATGTTCTTTTTACCGGGTTTAAAGATTGAGAAAATTGTCATGTATTTTCGTGAAATTTTTTTAATTTATGAGAAAAAAGCAGTGTACATGGATATAGTGAAGAGTGTGCGCAATGCCATTTTTGTGCAATTCTGGGATTTTTTTTAAGTAAAAATAAGTCGACGTGTACATGGTTTAGTGATATTTTAATGAAATGATAGTTATTTTGTGAATTTTATGCTTGTAGGAATTTGGTATACGTTTAAGTTGAAATAAATGTGCATGGAAATAATTAAAATATTTGATACTAAGTATTAGTAATGCTTTCGGTATGAATTCGTTGGTGACGTGTATAATGTAATAGATGATTTAGAGGTAAAAGTTTTTGGATATTTTATTTATTTTATATGTGGAAATGTTCATATTTGTAAAGGGTAAATACTTTTTTTTCGCGATCAGGTAATTTCATATATGTTCTTTTTACCGGGTTTAAAGATTGAGAAAATTGTCATGTATTTTCGTGAAATTTTTGTAATTTATGAGAAAAAAGCAGTGTACATGGATATAGTGAAGAGTGTGCGCAATTCTGGGATGTTTTTTTAAGTAAAAATAAGTCGGCGTGTACATGGTTTATGTGTATGTGTTATTTTGAAAAATGCGTAAGGAGAATGGTATTGTGCAGTTTTTCCTAATTTTGCAGTGAATATTTGTCATGATTAAGCAGTTTTGTTTGATAAAATTTCTAGCATAAGTGTAATTCGGCTAGTAGATTGTTGGAAGAAAATGTTCAGGAGATAAAAAGAAAAGAAAAAAATACATGATCTTTACTTCGTGAAAGACAAAATGGCGGCGGGAAAAAAAAACTAGAGGGTTGCTGTAGGAGAGTTGGTCGCCAAATTTTCGCCAAAAAATCGCCAAGTTACCATAATGTAAAGATCAACCGCTTAATATTTATTTCTTTCAACGTGCACATGTGTAAAGCATACATTACGCATAGTCGAAATTAGAAAATTGCAACCAGAAAACTATTTGATGTGTATTCGTGATATTTATAATGAATTTGATTTAAATCCTATCAAAGACAGAGTACATCGAGATGAAATACTACATTTAGTAATGAACTATAAGCCGAATAAAATAAAAACACCTGCCCTGAAGATAAGGATAGTGCTGACAGATCAACTTCCAGTTCATTGTGCGGCGCGACGTTCACCTCCCACGCAGAGCAGCATGAAATTGATAAACAGATTTCAGAATGGTTAGAGAAACAAATTATATGACTTTTTATACATTTTTTGCAGCAATTCCACTTTTTGTTTGATGAACATCGAAACATTCTTTCGTTTTGTAGATCCTTTGGCAGTATCCAGCATCGGAAATTCTATTTGACACAATCGAAAGTTCAAGCTTACTTTTATAAAATTGCTCTAACAGTCTGCAAAAAATAATAAGCTGGATCCAATTTGAAGATTAAGGAACAACGCTATCTGCAACATTAACTGAAATAGATAATTAGATAATTTTAGCTTAGCTTATACCGTCCGTTATACATTAAATGCACATGCATAAGCGTATTTTGCGCATGCGTAAAGGCATATGCGCATGCGTGAACGCATTTTGCGCTGACGCATTCGCAGAAAGTTTGTAGCTTTGAGGTCCGGATTAACGACTTTTGACTGTAGTATTCTTTTAATTTTCACCAAGGGGCACCTTTTAATATATTTTTCCATTTTGATTATCCTAGCAAAAAATAAACATTACTCTATTCCACTATAAGAAAAAAAACAGATATGCCTTGGATAAAGTGCAGAATCACCGACTTATTTGTTTGGCGCTTTTTACACGGATAAAAACCATTGGATTTTTGTCAATTTTCTTTTACTTTTTAAGTGAAAATAGGTTGATGTGTACATAGATAAAGTCAAGGGTGTGCGCAGTGCCATTTTTGTACAATTCTGGGTGTTTTTTTTTTTTTTTGAAGTGAAAATAGGTTAATGTGTACATGGATACTGAGTATGTGCAATTCTTAAAAACGCACCAAGCTGTGGGCGATTCTACACTTTCCCCCAAAAGTTAATCAAAATTTACATATTCCAAATGAGAATAGAATTAAATTTTATGGAATTTTATAATATGATAATAAATGCTAAACAGAGATTTTAAGGTCACCTCCTGATGACAACAAACCTAGGATTTAATGATTTTATTCTACTATCACGGAAACGAAAATGAAATATAGCATTCCATTAACACAACATTTTTGCAAAGCACATTTTTCATGCAATAGAATTATTTTATATACTCAAAATTTTCAATTTATGGCATTAATTTCATCAACTTAGACTGTGATTAGAAAAGCGATCTTTCTGATAAGTTAAAATTTAAGATTAACCTTTATATGATCATCAACAGCTTTGCACGCAGCAGCTTTCTTCGCTTGTTCGGCAGGATCCATTGCTGAAATTGTCGAATTTTTTCGAATAATAGAAAACACTAAACTGTAAAGGAAGGGTATGCGACCAATATTGCGATTAATAACAGATAAGTACATGCAGATCAGCAGATTGAAGTAACCGCACTTTACCAAATGATGCCTGTCATGATGTTACGTACATAGCTCATAAAATCAATCCCATGCATAAACATTTCGTAAATAAGCCAATATGATTGAGCTTCAGCAATTGCAAAAAAACGTAATTCCTTTTGGCTCCAGTACTCAATAACTTAAAAACGCAATAAAATTTGATTTATTAAAAATCCAGTACGAAAATATTGTTTGGTATTAGTTAATTTCATAAACTTGTGCAGAACAATTATATGGAATAATTCATAATTAAAATTACGTAAGTAATAAATAGAGTTTAAAATATTCAAAACAATAAAAATGAATCTTCGGAGTTGTTCGAAATTATTCATATCTGCTGAAATATTTCCATTAAAATTGTTACTTAATTCTAAGTTTCTCGATTTTATTATTGCCATTTCTATATTTGGAAGAATTCCGAGGAATATCCCTATAGATTTGTTCAGATCTCATAGCGAAAATACTCAAAAGCTTTTCCACCTTAGACTCAAAAAATGTATCAAACATTTGATTTTTAATGAATGGCAACAGCGCCTGCCAGACGTAAAAGCCAATAAAATTATGTAGAGCACAGCGGATGATTTAATTTCGTATCGTAGGTTTATACTGTTTTTGTTTGTATAGCAGTGTTTTACGCCATGTGAATTAAAATTGCTCTTAAAAGGAGCTTTTTCCGCTTTGACGAACAACATAATTCAAAAGATTATGTAATTTAAAAGTATGTTGACCGTTTTTATTTTTGTTTGCATTTAATAATATAGTTTCAAAACATGCATTTGTTTACCGTTTAGGCAATTTGATATGTAAAAATTAAATTTTAAATGGCTTTTGAAATGGTATTCTTGATACTTGAATCTCAAAATTGGCATTTTGTCTTTTTTAGACAACTCATTTAAAATAATTACTTGCATGCATTGGCTCTTCTTTCGGCATTACGACATGCATTCATAAAAGTGTTATTTTGAATTTTTTTATCAAGCTACTTTTTCAGCTCAGAGGCGAGACTTATGAAATGAAGTATTTCATAATAAAATTTATCACCTGTTATTTATAACCTTATATTTTAATGTAGCTATTTAAATTATTTTCCGATTTTGAAAATTTTCAGGAGTATAAATAATGGAAGAAATCTTGAAACTTCAACAATTCAAACCTGAGAAATTAGTGGAATTATGCCGTATGCATTTAACTTTCACACTAGACCTTCACGATGATGAATTTTCAGCTTTAATGGATAGAGGCAATGGAAAGAAAAAGAACCGAGGTTATTTAAGTCGGCTTCTGAAAGGTATGACTGTAAAATGTGTAGCATCACCTTTTATGTACTTGATTCGTATATATTAAGACAAATTAGACGTAAAAACTGTGATATAATTGTAAAAGTTCTTTTATTGGTATTTATTTAATGTCAACTTTTTGTGATTTAAGAAATGTTTCCCAACTTTTGTATTTAATTATATTTGATCCTTATTGTAAATAAGTTAATGAGTGATTACTTATTCATTTCTAGTCATATAAATGTCATTTATTATGTTTTTCATTCATAATTTATTTGTCACATTATGCTTTTTGACTCTGCAAGTTTGATATACTAAAATGTACTGAATCAGAAAGCTTGTGTATATTATTTATCAGAAGTTCTGATTTATGTCAGATTAGCAGCTTTCTGCAAAATGTGTGTAGTTCATAAATGGCATTCAGCTGAATTCGCATTAATAGAATCCATCCCATATATGAAGGACCCCTTTATGAAATTCTTTTCCCATGATGTTGTGAAAGATAAAATTGAATTTATTTTTATTACACATATAAATATATGGGTACCTGTCAATTTTTTACCAAAAATTAGTTGTAAAAATATATAGCAAACCCAAAACCAAGTAAAACTTTTTCTCATTATATTCTTCTATTCTCATTGGGAAAAAAAAAAAAAAAAAAGTGCATATGAGATTTTTCAGTTTATGCTTGTAAAATGTATGTGCATATTTATAAACAAAGTTTGATGATTTTATGAAATCTTTCTTTTTTTGTGTGTGGGGGGCAGGGGGGTTGTTCAAAATGATAGCAGTTTTCAATTCAATATCAAAGGAATGAAGCTATTGCATTCTTCCAAGAAATTTTATTCTCTACCTGAGTTTGTGAATAAGGGCATAAAATGAATGTATATACCACCCACAGAAGCTATATGGATACATAATGTGAAAAACTATCAGAAAATGAGACTTTGGCATGATGATCTCAGAATCACTGTTTTTATGCAAAATATTGAAAGACTTTAGGTTTCATAAAGTTAAAAACAATGTATTAAGAGTTTGCCAACATTCTGAGGGCTGAGTTTTCATGCAACCTATTAAAACATGAGAAAGGAAATTCTTTTCTCAAAATGTTTTGAAAGGTAGGCAAATTATTTCTTTTAATACTTTATTGTTTAAAAATTATTCTCAAATGTATCCCTGAATTTGCTAGATGTAATAGGAAAGAAGCAAGTTTGCGAGTTACAAAGGCAAGAAACAATCTTTTGCAATAATATGATGAGTAGCATTTGGTTCAACTCCCTATAAGATGGCATGTATTTTTGATGCTGTACAGCCTGAAAAAAAGTGGTTCCCCTCAAAATGTCAATAATATGTAATCATATTCTTTTAATTGCCCAAACACAACTCATTTGATATTTATGAAAGGATGCTTGTGGCAGGTGGATAAAAGGACATTTCACAAAACTGTGATAAATGCTCATAGAGCTAGCCAATCAAATTAATTCATAAAAGTTCATCATATTGTTAAAATATCTTTTTCAGGAAGTACTTACTTTTTTCAGATATGTATACTTAGGTGAAAATGTGCTTTAACCCAAACTTTTGGTGCAAATTTTAAAAATCACGCAGGCTCACGTACATACATCATTTAGTTAAAGCAACAACAAGAGTGTGGGTTAAAGCATGTTTCATCCATATAGTTGTTAGACTTGAGATGAAATATTTCTTCACGTTACGCTATTATATATGTTTATTATTGTGTGACCTTATGAACTTGTTTATTTAATATAACATCTGGTAAGGTCAAAGTTGTATCTGAAAATAAATGAATGTTCAATGGATTAGTAGCGAGAATTTTGTATTAGGGGGAAAAATATATTAATTTTTATTTGATTTTCTGAGACTGATAATAAACATTATTTTAGAAGTCATTTAGGGTTTTAAAATCTATGTTGAAATATAATTATTTGTATTCCAATTCTTTTAGAAAAGCCTGTATTAGAAACAATGCCATTAAATCAAGAAACTATTTCTCATGTCTACCAGATTATTGAATTTTTAGGCAGAGAAATAAGTAAGTGAATGTCATTTCTCTTAAATGTGTTTGCTTAATTTTATTTTAAAATTAAAGTTCATATGTATCATTAATGTTTGAAATTAAACAAATATATTAGCAATTTGTTTTTTAAAATAGTAAATGAACTTGTTTAATGTTATAAAATTTAATTACATAATAAGGTACTTAACAGCAAAACATTTTAAACAATTTATATACTCTGCTTCTCAAGTGTATGTTGATAAGTTCAGTATGCTCAAAATTTTATTTGTGGTTGTATATATTATACTCTTTTTTTTTTTTTTTTTTTTTTTCAACATTGCCATTAACAACCTTTAAATATTTAACTATCACCCTTGTTTCTTTCTAGTCATTTTTGAATTTTTTGTGCCAGGCTCAAAATCTAAACAATCTTTTGAAATATTAAGGCAATAAAAAAATTCATGATGTTTTCTTTATTTTAAAAGAAAATGCCTTTTCCATCTGTTTAGAAAGATGAAGAACCAATGCATACTTTATGTGAAGGAAAGCCTTGAATTCACAACTAGTTTAATATTTAAAAATATTTGTATCAGGGCCAGATACAAACATTAAAAAATATTTGCATCAGAGTCAGATACAAACATTTTTTTAATGTTAATATTTGTATCTTGACCAGACAATGCAGTCACTAGGTTTCCTATCAGATTTATGAGAAAGAGTTTTAATATGTGTTGATAACAAGTGAAAATATCTTTCTATTATTTTTATTCCATAAATAGGCACTTGCATATTAATACAACTTCCTTTGCGAAATTTGGCAATTTTTACATTACTATGTTTTTTAGTAGGTAAGAATTGTCTTATTATGTTTTTAACACATAATGCCATTTCTGTTCATCAATGAACTTTGAAAAATTCTCATGGGTGTATATACGGTTAATCTTCGGATTATGGTAACTTGGCGATTTTTTGGCGAAAATTTGGCAACTAACCCTGCTACAGCAACCTGCTAGTTTTTTTTTTTTTTTTTTCCAACAATCTGCTAGCCGAATTACACTTATGCTAGAACTTTAATGGAACAAAAGTGCTTAATCATGACGAAGATTAGGTGCGAAATTGGGAGAAAGTGCAGAATCGCCCACTACTTGCCACGTTTATAAGAATTGCACATACACGGTATCATCCATGTACACATCGACCTATTTTCCCTTAAAAAAAATCCCAGAATTGCACAAAAATGGCATTGCGCACTCTTGACTTTATCCATGTACGCTGCTAAAGTCCTATCTAGTAACCTTTATCGCCTTACCAAAATGTCGCCAAACTACCTGTTACCATATTCCAAAGATTAGCCGTATATACTAATGGGTAATTTTAATAGCTATTAAACTATAAAGTAAGAGAATTTTACCAGCCTGATTTCAATAAGCAGAATGTTCTGTCATTATCAATAGCAAGCTTAAATGTACAGAAATAAAAATGAAAAAATATTTTTAAATATCATATATTATGCAGCAAAAACTCCTTTTTCAATGCAACAAAACCTGATAAAAAGATCACCATTAGAAGGTGGTTTTCTTTATCACATAAAAATGTATAATTTGTTAATTGAATATAAAATATTAAATATAATAGCTTCTATTTATTTCCTGGTTTACTGAAAAAATGAATAACGAGTGATATTAATTCATGATTATCATAGATTTTAAACATTGATACTTACTCAATAGGAACATTATAAAAACTTTTGCCATTTAATTAATGTCAGTGATTTAATCATTTTTAAAAGCATCTTCCCCTCCCCCTTGTTAAATCTGAAATCATTCTTACTTTCTTTTACATTTTATATATATTAGCATTAAACGTCTAAAAGGCATTATATATATTTATTTTAAGTCGTTATCATATATAGTATTTCTGCATTAAAAATGCCTTTTTCTGTTTCTCTGCATGATAAAATCTGTACATGTGCCGATAAAAAATTTATAGATGCTTATCAGTTATGCTGCATGAAAAGCATCTCATTACTATAGCTTGATTTTTCTTTTTTTATTTATTTGGAACAAATTTAGAATTTATTTTTAATCTCTTTCTAATGAGAAAGTTTTTATGGAATTCTTTTCATATAAATATTTGGCATGATGAAATAATATTCCATGGTGACTCTTCCAATATACATGTTTTTGATGAGCGTTGATTTCTTCCGCTATATTCTATATTGGTGATCAAACTAATCATTGCAAAATTTCCAGTTTCACACTATTGAATAGACCAGAAATTAAAATTTGTTTAGGATTTTAAATTTATTTATTAAATTTTGCCAACATTTTTAAAATTATTATACTATTACTAACAGTGGCAGACAAAATTTAATCTCTCATAATATTATTAAGTAGCCTCTTAATTTTAAATGATACTGAAATTGGATTTCTAAATCATACCAAAAATATTTAATGAAAAAATTTCATCTTATGCTATCAGATCAAAATCATAAAAAAAAAAAAAAAAAAAAAAAAAAAAAAAAAAAAAACCTTGAAAGGAAAGTGATGTCATGTATTTCATCGCTATGCTAATCAGAAGGGATAATTTTCTTAAAAATTCAAAGGCAGTACTTTTTTATACTTCCTTATTATAGCAGTCCCGAGAGTGAATCACTAACCAACCGAGATACTTCACCATGCGTTATTATTGTTATATATTGCAATTTATTTTTACATTCCTGCTTCAGGAGCTTGGCGAAATCATAGGTGCAATCTTGGCATAATCCTAAAGTCACAAATAAGGTTGGGGACCTTTGTAATAAGGGAGTATCTAATTTTCTTATTATCTTTATAACCCTTCTCCTTCTTCCATTCTAAGAATTAAAAAATGCAAAACAGTTTACATACAGCATTTAACAGAATTGATGCTTATAGCTTTAAGGGTGAGAAAACATAACAAAAATAACCATTTTCATTTCATGTATGGTGAAACATAAAATGGAAATGCAGAAACATATGAAAAAATAAAAGTTGTTTTAATCATGGATTACTGAAAAGAAATAATGTTTGATATTTACAAGAACTATCTGGATAGATGACGACCAATGAAATGTATGCATACAGAGAAGTGATTGTCATGCACTTTGGAGATGCCCGACAAGTCACATTTCTGTGGTAGCAACAGGGTCTTCAGGAAAGTCAGTCTTATAAATGGGATCTGTCAGCTTAATAAGAAAATGAACTAGTAGCTGAATATTCCTTAATTTCATTGTATAATATTCCCTGCTAATGGCTGTATTTCTTTCAAGTCTATCAAAATGTCTTGACCGTCCTAAAAAATGGTAGCTCTTATCTTTTTGTTGATGGTGCTTCACTTTTATCCCTCCTTCCCCTTGGTTCTCTCTTTTATAGAGGATCATAGTGTAAGATCATTGTTTTATTATCAGTTATTACCAACTGTAAATATTTCTCATATTTGCACTGTAAAGCTGCAACAATTGCTTACAGTAAATTACACTTTGCTATGAAATCAGGGTACCTACTTTGCAGAGATTTTGTTCATGTAGAATGCATAAAGCAATTGTTTTAGATCAGTGATATTCAAACTATGGATCTCAACCCCATTTGGAGTCCCCAAAATTTATAGTGTGAATGCAAGGTGGATAAAAATCCTAAAGAATTTGAATTGATGGTATAGTATAACTAAGGATCAATGTTCTAATTGGGCTTATTTATATTTTTATAGAGTGACACTTCTATAAATTTGAATACCACTGTTTTAGATAGATCCAGTTTTGCTGTTATTTTCTGACTTTTTTAAATCTCCTATCACTCAATATTTTTTTTTAAACATAAGCAATATTTCTGATGCCAATACATCCATTGGTTATGAATAGCTTGCCTTCAACACAGATCCCTGTATAAATTAAGGATCTGATTATACTTGCATAATGATGCCACAGCATTACAACTGTTCATGTAATGCAACAGTGCTAGTTCGTCACAATGTTACTTCAAAAATCACCCACCTTCTTTTCTTTGATATGTATAACCAATACAAAAAGAAATGGGAAATGCGTTTTAGTCTAAATGCTGTTACAGTTGTAGTAATAAATTTTTTTTTGGGGGGGGAAGGGAATAGTAAACTTCACTGCCATATCATCCATAATATTATACAAGTATTCTTTTACAGGTACTGATTAGCTTATATCCCACTTTTCTCATTTTTGATTAAATATCTATACCTCTTGCTTTTTCATTCTATGTACATTTTCCAGTGTTTTGTGCTGTTTTTTATCTCATGCCATTGAGAAGTACCAGTATTTTTACTGGAAATTTTTGTGATACAGTTGCATTAGCTATAGCACATTCATTTTACTTTTGTTTTTATGTACAATGAACGCATGTTATATATTCGCTGTACTTATCAGCTTAAGTTTCAGTACTCCTAAGATGGCTGTTAGTTGATCAAGTTATTTTATGACCAACCTGTATTTTAGTTAATTTAGGAATGATTTTAAAATTTTGCTTTCAACCTTCAGTTGCCCAGATACTTTTCTCCATTTACTTGAATACAGAAAAGTATCTTGCAGATACATTGCACCATCTAAACATTATACTTATGCAAAAAAAAAAAAAAAAGATTCCACAAATCATTTACTTATTAATGTGGCAACTTGAGTATGGAATTAAATTTTTCTTTGTTGTAATTATTGAAATTTTTTTCATAGTTGAAGAATTTGATTTCCTTATAAGTTTTCTAAATCAGTAAAATTATTCCTTGTTCAGTAGATGATGAATTCTATTTATTACTATATTTCATTTTATGCTTTACGCTGAGCCACCTTAGCCATAGCTGTTACTCATTTAGCACAACCATGAAGCACGTGTGAATTAAGGATATCACAGACGTGAGTAACATTGCCCTTGCCAGTAACAGAAAGGCAGACTCACTAGCCAAGAGAGGAACACTTGAGCCACAAGACAGCAAACCACTTCCTCCAGAGTCACTTAAAAAACATATTTTTGAGAAATTAATGGATACTCTTAAATCTGACCAGGCAGCAAAATCAACAGGCAAATCCTAGGCTAACATTCAAGATGCATGAAAAACGTTTTGTCAAAAACCCCATAAAGAGGCTGTGGCAAACTTCAGACTGCAAACATGTCACATCATCTTAATAAAATTTGCTCCTTCCATCTAGTATATGCCAAATTTGCGATTAGGGCATCATGATTGCAGAGCATCTTCTTATATGCACAGAACTAGATAAAGAGTCTCAGAAATGTGGTAAGATTAGTAAACTATGCTGGAATGCCAGAGCTTTCATAAACTCCTTTTAAAGACTATATCTCCTTTCCTTGTTTAAATTTTTAACTTTTTATTTTTGTTCCCATGTTCATTTATTCTGATTCTTACTTTAAATGTTTCTTCCTTTTTTATTATATATCACTGTTCTTGTGTGATACTTGAGCTGTTCTATATGTTTGGATTGATCTTTCCAATAAACCCATATCTAACAACAGCATATTTCATTTTATAAATAAATCTCTCAAGTCCTATCTCGTATCTTAATTTTCCCTTTAATGTTTTCATCTTAATACACTGCATTTTATGTCAATTTTTAAAGCATTAATGACTTGAATTTCTCTGGATTTGGTGATTTCTGTTGAGGGCAGCAGTATTGTTCAATTACTAAAAATGCTTTAGCTGAACAAAAGTAAATTTGGTATTATGTTTAATATTGATTATTTTATTCCCTTTCACTTTTCACTTTACTTAGCATGTCATTTCTAACTAGTTTTAGGAAACTGATTAAACAATAATTACTGAGTTATATATTTGTAGATCTATTAAAATCAATTCATTAAAATTAATGTTTATGCTGAAAATCTTAACACTTATTAATAGCAAGAAAACAGTCTCACTTGATATTAATTTATCAATATGCTACTGTGTTGTTTCAGTTCAGTTTTTCTTTCAGATGTCCATAAAGAAGGTTTGTTTCGCAAAACGGGAAGTTTTGCTAGGCAGAATGAACTTAAAATGTTACTTAGGCTGGGAGAAAATATTGATTTTAGTGCTTGTGCTTACACTGTTCATGACTGTGCGTGTGTGTTAAAAAGTTTTTTGGCTGAATTACCTGAACCATTGCTGTCAGAGGCTCATTATTCTGCACACTGCCAAATCACAGGTATTTATTTTGCTTAGTATTAGTAATATTTTACAATTAATATGTATTCTACCATGAGGAAATATGATAGCATTCAAAATAATTATGCTTAAAAAGTTAATAGGGTTTAGAATATTAAAAACTTATGCAAGTTTTTTTTTAACTTTTAATCCTTATCATGATATTATGCTTTATATTTTATTAATTTGATTAAATGTGTAGTTATGTAAGAAATTATACTTATCGTTTCTATTATGCTGTTAGGATAATTTTTCAACTATGTCTGGTTGTTGCAACTATGTGCAATCATTTGAGCACCAGAAGTTAATAAATTATATGGCCAATATAAATATGGTCTACTTTCTTCAAACTAATTCTTTATTTTAATCTATGTTTTCTGCTTTATTCCTTCTGTAATATGAATAATCACTTCCATAATGTGATTTTGTGAAGTTTAGTTTCATTGTATGAGAGTTAGAGAGAAAATTCATTTAGTAAATTCAAGAAATAAATGGTTATAAAACTAAAATTTTCTAAATAAATCAAACAAATAAAATTAAATTAAAGCCACTGATCCTAAGAAAATGGCTATGATTACACATAGCTGCAATAGTTAGACGTAATTGCAAGTTATACCAAAGAAAATATTAGGAGTTTGTTGCTGGCTAGTCACTGTTTATGGAAATTAGAGTAATTGGTTAATTCCTTAAGAAATGCTTTGGCCAAAACATGTTCATTCATTATTATGTAACCACAGCTAAAACAAATAGGATTTTTCACATGTTATTGTTCTCAAATATGGTTTGATTTAATTTTATTTTAGATATGAATCTTAACAGCACGTCATCTAGTCAAGCGAAAACTATATATGAAAGGCAGCTAAAGGCAACTAAACTTCTACTTTTATTACTACCTCCTGACAATTACTGTCTCCTGAAATATTTGCTCCTTTTGTTGAATCAAATACAAAACGCTCAGGAAAAAAACAAGATGACATCTGAAAATCTTGCTACCTTATTTGCACCTCATATAATTTGTCCTAGGAAAGTGAGTATAAAACTATTTTCATTGTATTTTATGCTGCTATAATAAAAAGGTATCAGGAATGATTGATTTAAAATATCAAGGTTGGCATGCTACCTGAAAAACCGGGAAAAGTCAGAGAATTCAAAAATTGACTTAACCCCTTAACTGCCGTGGGCATATATACCAAAGCCTTGCTCAGCCGATGCTTTAACTGCCCCGGGTGTATATATACACCCTTCCAAAATACTATCATTTGCTTTGCGCTGCTACCCCGGAAATTATTCGCAAAGCTTTGGAATGCAACACCACAATGACCTTGACAAAGTATGCGAAGGAGGATACTATTTCAGAGTAGTGTGGGGAGAAATTGGAGAGAGGGATGTGTCTAAAGTGGTGAAAGTAATGACTGCGGGGTATTGGCTGGTGTTGTTTGAGTAAAACATATCTTTTTTATTCTGTGTCGTCCATTTTCATTTCCTTTTTAAAGCAGGTTCCAGGAATAAAGAAAGATAATGGATGTTTCAAACCCATTTATCTTTTTTGAATTATTTTTTGATGAACTGCTCGTGCTTCATATTGTTACTGAAACTAACCGTTTTGTGGACGAGTATATAAACCAACACCTTGCAAATGAAAAATCAAGAACAAAATCGTGGCATTCAACCAGTTCAGAAGAAATATATGTTTTCTTAGGCATACTGATTTCACAAGGTATAACACTGAAACCTGATGCAGTCAAAAGTCATTAATTCGGACACCCATAGTCCGGAATGATCTATAATCCGGACCTCAAAGCTACAAACTTTCTGTGCATGCTTCGCGTTGACGCATGCGCATAATATGTTTATGCATGCACGTTTAATGTATAATGGACGGTTTAAGCTAAGCTAAAATTATCTAATTCAGTTAATATTGCAGATTGCGTTGTTCCTTAATCTTCGAATTGGATCCGGCTTATTATTTTTTGCAGACTGTTAGAGCAATTTTATAAAAGTAAGCTTGAACTTTCGATTATGACAAATAGAATTTCCGATATATATTAACTAATATGTAAAGGATCTCTACAAAGCGAAAGTATGTTTCGAAATCCAAAATCTGTTTATCAATTTCACGCTGCTGTTTGGCCGGGGGGGGGGGAGAACGCCGCGGCGCGCAATGAATTTGAAGTTGATCTGTCAGCACTATCCTTATCTTCAGAGCAGATGTTTTTATTTTATTTGGCTTATAATTCCTTACTAAATATAGTATTTCGTCTCGATGTACTCTGTCTTTGATATGATTTAAATCAAATTCCTCGTCATTATAAATTTAATAACAATATTTCGTGCAATTTCTATTTGACAGCCTGAAATTTTAATAAATAACAAATCAATAACTTTTCAGAATTTGTAAGAAATGATTGAATAGGTTTTTTAATACGAGGTGGAATTTATTTAAAGGATACAAAGTGATTCATGTCACCATGTTTTACAGTCCTTCAATATAGTCGCCAGCATTGTGTACAACCCGTTTCCAACGATGTGGAAGTCGCAGAATACCTGTAGCAGCGCCTGTTTTGTTAATAGTTTGAATGGACCGGTTTACTGCCGCAAGAATCTCAGGAACAGTTTGGAAGCAAGTGCCACGAAGTGGTTCCTTCACCTTAGGAATTAAGCCATAGTCACATGGGCTTAGATCTGGGGAGTATGGTGGATGGTAAAGCACTTCCCAGCCCCATCGCTTGAACAAATCAGTCACAGCTTGCGCTGCATGCGGCCAAGCATTGTCACGCAAAATGAGAGGAGCGTTCTGCAGAAAGTGTCGCCGTTTTTTTCTCAAAGCTGGTCGGAGATTGTGATCCAAAAATGAGCAGTAATACTGCGCAGTGACGGTCTGCTGTGGGGGAACGGTATGTGTTAGAATGACACCATCACAGTTGAACATGATAATCACCATAACTTTCACATTGCTGGGGTTCTGACGAAATTTCGAATGTCGTGGTGACCTGTGATGACACCATTCGTTTGATTGGCGTTTCAGTTCTGGCTGGTACGATCGCGCCCAAGTCTCATCCAGCGTAATGACATGCCGTAAAAAAGCATCTCCTTTGCGCTCATAGCGCTCCAGGTGGGTTCTGGCAGCATTGTATCGTAGCCATTTCTGCATTTCCGTCAAGTGATGTGGAACCCATCGTGAAGCAATTTTTCTTATGGACAGGCATTCCTTCAGAATGTGCAACACAGTCATATGCGCTAATCCTGTTTGTCCAGCCAGCTGATGAACCGTTTGGCGGCAATCACTGTCCACTAGTGCGTCAACAGCTTGCACGTCTGCATCGCTGACACTCGGACGACCTGGCCGCAGCATGTCTGCCACGTTTTGGCGTCCTTCATTGAATGCTTTCACCCATCTTGCTATGGTTCTGTAAGGCAATGCAGATTCCCCGCAAGCCTCTTGAAGCCCCTGATGACACTGTCGTGCTGTACGACCTCTGGCACAATTAATTTTTATCCAACATCGTTGTTCTTGTTTTGAAAACATCCTGACAACACTTACTTTAGACCATGAGCTAATATAAGGATTCGTTCTTCGCGTCACTCCTCATGCGCGTAACGTAGGCAGGACGTGTCTTTTTGCTGAGAGGTAAGGTATGTAGGTATACGCGATATTCTTTGGTTTTGTTGCGTAGCATTTTTTCAGCTGTGTTGCCACTATTAAAGTTCCAACCCTCGTATTTCTGATGAATTAAATTTAATTGACACAGCACCGATATTAATGACTTTTTGTATTACACTTTACTGGTCTAAAAATAAATTGATCAAAAATCCATTTTAGGGATCTTTTTTATTATAAAAACATCGTTTTTATTATACTTTTACTCAAACATTAAATTTTGTGCATTCATTTTTCTCTTTTATTCTTTATTTTGTGAAAGTAAAACTTGCACTTATTTCCCCCCTCCCAATACATTGCATGACTACGCGTGCCTGTGTGAAAACCGTGGCACTGGGAAATGAATCTTGTACATTTCCACGGCTGTTAAGGGGTTAAAAAATTGGAGGAAAGTTGGGAAATTTTATTTTAGTCAAAATCTGGAAAAATTGTTGAATTTCATACTGCTACCCCCTCCAAAAGCAATTTTTTACGCCAACGTTGGAAGCAATCACTTTCTTGGTGAGTTATGTATCATGGGAGCATCATTCTGGCAGCTGGTATAGAGCCCATTTTTGCAGTTCCAATCGAATTGTCTTTTAGAAAGGCAAAGCAAGTTCCCAGAAACTTTTAGTTTCCAGTAATCTTGAGAATCAAGAGATTCGCATGTGCAGTGCATGTTGAACAAAAGAAAATACCTTCCCATTCTCATATAAAATGAAACTGCTTTATTCCTATTATATGGTACACATGGGATTTGGCGACATTATGATGAGTAGTAAACAGGCCATTGGTCTTGGCAACAGTTTTCAAAATCATGTCAAGCCCATATCATATACTAGGATCTTACCACAAAATCTTTTAAACACTTTTTTTTTTTTTTTTTCTTTTTAATAAATGCCTTATTTGTCATTTTGAAGTAAAATTTAAAAAATAGAAATCAGTCATCTAGGCTAACCCTTTAATATAATTATATTTGCCAAAATATTTTTGATTACTGTAATTCAGTTTGGTACTATTGTATCAGTTTTGTTTGTAAAGAAACAGTTACTTTTAATATTAATAGAATGCAAAACTATTTATGAATAAACCCTCTCTCTTATAGCATTGTTACTTTATAACATAATACAATAATGATGCAGTATCATTCTGTTAATAAATTTTATTACCTAACAACAAGTTACACAGTTATAAATTGTATATAAAAACATTTAGTAGCCGGATTTGATTTCAAAAAATTTAATACAAGTAAAAAAGTTAAAAATTTACTGAAGTTTCTATCATTACTGTTAGTAGATTATATTTCTATTTGTCAAATAATCACAATGGATTTTTAAAAAGGGCCTTCACTATAAGTGTTTTAAGAACTATATTACTTAAACTAAAAAATTAAAAGACTTCAGTGATGTTTATTATGCAGGTGATAAAGAAATAATACGGGTATATGATTTTACATCTTGAAGTCTTGTGAGTTGGAGTATGGGAAACAACCGATAGTTGCTTTGTTGACAACAAAAGCTGAGTGGCAGCAGATTATGTTAAAGAACTGATATATTTTTTAAGCTTTTTTGAAAGAAATAATTAATAGGATGATTGTAATGAATTTCAATATTGATAATTATAGTGCAGTTAAATTAACAACTGAATGTTTTATAAGAGAAGTAAACACGTTGCAAAACCATTAGGTAAAATTAAGTTTAATAAATTTAAGAATGTATAGTATATTAAAAACTTTATTAAATTAAGTATAAAATAAAATCATAAATAATAGTAATAATTTGACTTTTTGAATTCCATAAATGAAAATTAATGGAAGTTGTTGAGGGTAATTTTTATTTAATTATTATGTAAGATTGAACGGCAACAATATTATTAAAATGTGAGTGGCAACAGTTCAATTTTCCAATTGGAATGACAACAGTAAAGAAAAATGTTCCAGTACTATCACTTCTTATATAAAGTGGTTTTTTTTTTTTTTTTTTTTTTTTTTTTTTTTTTTTTTTTTATTTTAATTCTGTATTGTAATGTGATGTTATGTGATTTTGCAAACTAAATATGCTGTTTTGTAATAAAAATTTTCAGTAACTTCTTGTAATGGCAATTTTCTTTAAAACTTCAAAAAAATTTGGAAAGAGCAAAAATGTGTTTTCTTTTTAAGAAGGCATGTTTTGCTTAAATTTAAATTTTATATTAGCATGTTTCTCTTCAGTCTGATTTTTTCCCCCCTTGCTAATTGGCATTTTCAAGAAATTGCTTTCAGTTTGAGGATCAAAAAAAAAATAAAAATTAAAATAAAATAAATAAATAAATAAAAAGAACAAAAAATTCCCTTTCCTTACTGTATAAAAGAGATCTGTTTCAGTTTGCCCTCAAAATCAATAGAATTAATTCAAAATCTGCACCAAATTAAAGTTGCTGTTTTGCTTTACTTTAAATGGTATTTGCATGTTATCCCATCCACTATGAAAGGTATCTACCATCAAAACATGAAAACTGAAAAGTTGTGCTAATCATTCCTGCAGAATTCTGGAGGAACTAATGACTCTTTATTTAATAAACAATCAGTATTTGACCTGCTTTGTAGAAAGGCTTTCATCGATTTCTACTATTTTGTTATGCCCTCTAATTTTACTGGAAGCTCTTTGTTCTTAGTACAAACTTCCTGCACATCTATTAATGTTTTTTGCGCATATTCAGCTCGCCATATCATCTCCATCACAACGAAAATTTTTTATGTCAGGCTCACATAACTTTGAAAAAAATGCACTCCTTACTGTTCTGTAGTCAATGATTAAAAGTCAGATCCCAAATTTTAATCATTTCTTTCAAAATGCAAGAGAAAAATATAGCAATAACAGTGTTAATTTGTGTCCTTGTTCATAAAAATAAAAGATGGCTTATGGATAATTAAACAGTATTATATAAAGCGAAAGCATAAACATTAAAAATCATGCTTATCCATAATTGACTCTAAATTGTGCAGCTTGGCAACAGTTTCATGGTTGATAGGATAATGTGCAAGTATCTTTTAAATTTTACATTGGTGTGTTCCTGTTCCAGTTAGTCTTATGGAGTACTCATGAAATGTCTAAAGTATGTCTATTAAATAATGAGACCAATGCAATAACTCACTTTATTTATTTATATGATAGTTTTGTAGCTTGTGTCTTTAACATGTTTCTCAGTCATAATTATGCATCATTGTTGTCTTTTTTGCTGTTCAAAACCCACCAGTGATCAAGGGATTACAGCCACAGAATACTGGAAATTTGACCTGGCTTCAATCACAATGAATGGGATAGCTACATGGTTAGTTTTTCCCATGTGTAATGTAAATACAAGCTAGTTTCTCTTAGAAAATCCTCCACATAGACTTCCCTTCCCTAAAGACATCAACCTGAAACACCAAATTTTCTTGGATGATGAACAAATTAAAAAGGCAAAAAAAAGTTATCTATGAACTTTCATTAAGAATGAAATTATTCTCAGAACAATTGGAGAATTTGAATCAGGACAGTCAAACTGCAGACATTGCAATGAGTCTTTATCATTCTCTTCTAGTGATGAATTAGATTTTAAGAAATCTTTTTGGATAATATTGAAAAGGCTAAGGTAAAGCAAATGAAAATAAAAAACCAAGAGCCTTTAGATATAAAAATTAAAAAATACAAACAAGATTTCTACACGGCCTTTGAAGAAATCGAGAAATATGATTGCGCTTGCAAGACACCTCTTTTAGAACTTATAAAAATCTATCCTGAAAACTTAAAAGAAGTAGCTTTATCAGTAATAGCTCTTCCACCTACTCAAGTTAGTTTGGAAAGACTCTTCTCAGTTCTGAAGTTTATCAAATCGGATCTATGGGCCTCCAACAAAGATCTTACTGAAGCTATACTGTTTCTTAGAAATAACTAATGCCAGTTTTTCATTTTTGTAATAAATGCTAATTAATATAAATAATTTGATATGCCATCAATTTTTTTTCTGTAACATTTATTACTTCTTTTATATTAAAAAAAATAGGATGTAACCCATGCATATATATTTACATATATATATATATATGAGGCAGTCAGGGTCAGAGTCATTAAAATTCCAGGAGTCGGTCATTTTCCCTACCAATTCCACATCCCTGTGTGAAACAAATCAATTTTATCAGCTTTTTCAAGGCATATAATGTTTTCTTTTTTATGGCATCTGCTGGCTCAGAATTTGTTCCTTTTAAACATTGATTTCAGTTTAGGAATTTTCCATTCCACTTTCTATTATTTTGGTTTATGTTCATGCTGTAAGATCCTGTTACTGACAAAAGTGATGACTTTTTGACAAAGTCATTACTTTGAAACAAAATCAGTTTTACATCAGGTTGCCAAAGAAAGGTGCAAACTTCTTTGTAGCATTCTTTTTGGTGTGATGTGAGAATGCTAAATGATTTTTTTAAATTTATATGATTTTGATTATGATTTTTTTAATCTTTTATACAGATGTTACCAGCAGATTTCAAACAGAATTTTCCTCGCATGGTTAAATGTATTACATTTCTAATTGATAATGCTACGGTTCTTTTTGACCCTCCCCAAGAACTTGTACAGGACGTTTTAATCTACTTAAAGGAGATGTCATATGAAGGCCCATTGCAATCTGAAAATCATGAGGTAAATTTGTTAATCAGAGGTTTTAAAGTTATATTAATTTGTTCATTAATCTGACTAATTAAAATGCAACAAATCAAAATTTTTCTTGGCTTTTATAAATACTGGTTAGCATGAGCATTGTATGATGTTCCTAGAAGTATTGTATTAACTGAATTTGATTTATTAAATTTCTAAAAAAAAATTTGGAATTCAGAATACTTTTAGGAATATTCTTGTAGATTTGCAAATATATATTATTTGTCTATTTGTGCATGTTTTGTGGTCTTGTGAAAATATCTCATTTATTAAACCGTATTTATTCTTTATTATCTCTTTTATTATTATCATATATCATTTATTATTCTTTTTTATTATCACGTATCTGGTATTTATTTATAACCTTATTTATTATCTTATAATTATATTTAACATAAACTAAAGAAATAATTTTAGCAAATGCATTTTCCTATAAATTCTATAATGTATAAATGTAATGGAAATTTATATTAGAGTGATCCCATCAAGACCATGATCACATTCTGTGAAAGAAGCAACTTAGTTCAACCAGATTCTGCTGATTACACTAATAAAGCATTGTCAGAGTTGAAAGCTTATATAGAAGCCATGCCTAATTCTGCAAGAAAAAGAAAGTTCGTCAAAAAGGTATAATTAATCTATAAGATTTAGTTTCTGAATTTTATAGAATTTTAATTGAACTGGAATATAGCTATCTCATTAAATAGGACGTAAAAAATTTGCATTTCTACAAGATGTAACCATAAAGTAGCTGAATAAGTTCTTATAAATAAGAAAAAGATGAGTATGCTTCAAACAAAATTTTTTTCTTCAAAGCAATTGCCAGAAAAGTATATACAATTTTTTTAGAATTTCAATCAAAACACTGTTTATAGGCATTGGAATTAACTGTTCTCAAAATACATATAACGTTTGTTTTAATGTTTGTGATTGTTTTTAAATCTCCATCTTTTCCTAGCCATCCTAAGATTCGGAAAAGGGGGAAAATCATCTAACGGTGAGTCCGAAGAATATGGTAGATGAATTGCAGTTTAATGCTTAGCAAGTTATTGTTGTACAGATAACACTCTATGGGACTTAGCATTATCATGCACAAGAAACTATTGTCCAGGATCAAAAAAATTTCTTCTTAACTCACCTTATTCTGTTTCTTACTTGAAAAATCATCTTCTTATAAAAATACTGATTAATAGATTTTTAGGGACAAATTCGTGGTGAGTTAAGTCCTTTGTAATTCAAAAACTGCAACCTCAGTGCTTGATTCTGACATCTGTGCTTGTTTTTAGTGGAGGGAAGAGACTCCTTTTTTTTTTTTTTTTTTTTTTTTTTTTTGTTTTGTTTTGTTTTGTTTTGTTTCTGAGTTCTTCAGGTTTTATTTCTCGCTATAATATACTTTCAGAAATTGTTGTCTTGTCTTGCAATAGTAGTCAACAAGCTTTTCTGCCTTCTTTCTACTGTTCTGTCAAAATCCAAGGTACAAATTAAGCACAAACTTTCTTCATTTTCAAATTTTCAATTAAAAGTTATCTATAGCTCTCTTTTATTCCAAGCATGCCTGAAATTTGCTGAGCAGCTACACATCTATCAGCTATCATCAAACAACATATTTTTCCCATTCTGTGAAACTGAAGAGCACCCTCTCTTTGATTCGTCTTCAGTGCTTTTTCACCCACATTTAGAGCAGTTGTATCACTCAAGCACTTGTATTCTTGATGAGGATGCATCACCATATATTATTCAAATCATCTCGATGTTTCAGTAGCAGATTAATCTAATTTGATGTTAAAACCAACCACATCAAAGTAAATTTTTTCGTACAATGTCTTCTAAGTAAATGCAAATAATTGCTATTTGAATATGCAAACGGCAAAATAACCAGTTTAACTATCTTTAGCAAGACTTGAGATGTCACTCTTTCTAAACTTTTATTTATTCTTTCACTTTTTTTACACACATTTTACCATTTTTTATTTTATTTGTCAGTTTACTTTATGGGTAGGCATTGTAAGTATAAAAGGGTGCCCTCTGTTAATTAAAACTTTTTAATAATTCTCTTGTAATGAAATATTGCTTTTTCATTAGAATATACATTTTTCTGTCATTAGATTTCTTATGATTTGCTATTTTACTTTTAATTCTATTGTAAAATTTTTTAATAAACATTTAATTATCAGTTAAATCAACTGACATATGGATCTTTAAAGTTTCAGAAAGAAAATAATATTGAAATCATATGTGAACCGCGGAGGAAACATTTCAGAAGCCGGTCTGTTGGAGATGCGATCAAAGTAAGTTTTACCATATTAATATATTACTAACAGAAATAATTATCATTTTCAGTGTCTTGTCTAAAAAGAAATTTCACATCCTACAAAACTGAAATTTTTAAATTTTGCACACATGGCCTGCACAAAAGTATTGGGAATAAAAAATGCTGCATATCATTAGAATATAGGATTTTAATTGAAAAATATAAGTTTTTAATTTAATTTGTAAATGACACATGATCCATGTAAATATTACATGCTTACTATAAAATAACATTATTAATGAGCTTTTAACATTTGCTGGCTTTACTATAAAGAAATCATTTGTATGTCTTTTGAACTGAAGCACCATCTCCCCATCTCAACCTTCAGATCCGAATGGCACATGTTGAGGATTGTGATTTATATAACTAGAAAAGATCACCAGTTATTTAAAGCAGAGATTCCCATCCCTTTTCTTGCATAGATCCCTCTGAGAAAAAACAGTTTCCTTCTTTGACCCCCCTTATATTTTTCTGTGCAATTTACAGCATAATCATGTTACAAATAACTGCATATAAATAACCTGGATATAACAATTAGTTTAGAATAAAACAAAAGTTTTTTAAAAATGGTTAATTAGATTTGTTTTTGTATTATTATTAATTTAACAAGTCTAAATAAGTTTTCAAAAAAGAAAAGAAAAGAAAAAAAACACAGATTCAAATTGCAAAAAAGATTGATTTTAATTCATGTAAATTTTATGTTTGGTAGAAAATTACTTTATTTTTAAATCACCTTATTCAAAAATATTCTCTGTTATAAATTATTGACTTGACTAAAGTCTTCTTCCTCTAAGAAGAGGGAGAAAGTTAGTAATGTCAGTTCAGTGTATTTTATTTTGGGATTTTTCTCTTTAATGACTTTTAAATTACAAAATTTAGCATGTATTCATGTGCTCCATAAAATAATTGTGCTTGAACATCCTTTTACAATGCAAATACCTCTTGCATTATAATATCAAGATCAGATAGATGTATCACAGTTCAGCAGTTCTATGAGCTATGTTGGCACATTCCAGTTTTCAGTGTCTTGGAAGCAGACATAAAATCTCCTTTTAAATTTTGCTGGCGGCTTCTGTATAACAATATATCTTAAGAGGAAGTGTAGTTCTTTTCAGTGATGGATAATCCTGTGACATTATTAAAGTTATGGAATTTGTTTTGATTCAATAATGATATAAGCAGGTCAATTTTTGAATGATAATAAAAAATAATTATACTTTTAATGAGACTGGTGTTCCTTTCTTTCACTTTGGCTTATGTGGCAATGAACAATGAAACCAAGTAGAAGATTTATTTTTTTAACTTTATCAATTGTGTTGCTATCTCATTGTCAACTTCTAGGGCAAAAATTCTATATCATTATTGAAAATATCTATAAAATGCTGAAACAGATATGTCTATAAAATACTGCAAAAAGTTATTGTGATTATGCCAATGAATTCCTGATGCATATTTGGCTGTCAATCCTTGGGGCTCATTCTCTGAGCTGCCATAAAAAAGCAAAATAGATCTTTTTCTTATCTTTCTTTAAAAAAAACTTCTTTTTATTCTGTTAACATATGGAGCTTGCAATTGAAATAAATAAAATGATGAGTGAATGAAATATTTAAATGCTCAGTTTCTATAGTCTGTTATTCCAAACAGCTTAAATTCTACTTTAGTATTGCCTCATACATTTTAAATCTTTTAACATCACAAGAATATCATTTTTATATTGGCTATAAACCCTTATTTGGATGTCTTTGTACTTTTTTAGTTCCATTCTTCCTATCTTTGGTAAAAAATGTAAATGAAACTTCCATATTGCCTTTTATTAAATCACCATTCTATAAAATCTGATTTCATTCTGTATAAATAAATTTAATAAATAAACAAGAATATGCCTATTATATTCATTAAAAAATTACTTAAATTTTTCGTTCTGAGAACATGATTCTTTTCTGTTAAAAATGACTTTTAAACACCTATTTCGGGTTTTTTGAATTGAATAAATTAATATTAACTGATATTTGTGACCTGATTCATTCAGATTCCAAACGTAACATCTGAAACATAACATAAACTTCTGCAGTCTTAGGTGTAAAGTCTTTATGTAATTAATTTTTTTTAAATTCTGAGTTGTATTTACTCAAATTAATATTTGATTTAATTGCTAGCATGTGATGCTTGCAAACTATGATATTTATTTTTATACTTCCATCCTGTATACTCCGAAGAGCCAAAACATTATGACCACCGACTCAATATAGAGTTGCACGACTTTTAGTCTCAAAACAACTGCAGCTGGCTTTGCCATGGATGCCACAAATTCTTGGTAGATGACTAAAAACAGGTTGTTCCAAATGTCTAATTTGCACTCTCAACTGCTGCTCCATAAAATCTCAAATGTGCTGTATCGTGTTAAGATCCGGCGAGTTACATGGCCAGGTCATTAACTGGAATTCATGCTTCTGCTCCTTGAACTACTCCACAATTAGAACCTTGTGACATGGGGCATTGTTCTGCTGGAAGGTTCAATTCCCAGTTTAAAGACAGTTGCCATGTAACAGTGAAATTTATTGGCAGTTATGTTCAGATAGTCCACAGCTCTCATGGTCTGTTCTACTATAACTAAGGGTTCCAGAGCCACATATGAGAATGTCACCCAAAGCATAATACCGCCACCACCAACCTGTGTATGACCTGCTATATGGGAGGGGGAGCAACTGTTTGCCTGGAAGACAGCGTACCTTGAAACGACCATCGAAGTGGTGAATGAAAAATTGTAATTCATCCAACCAGGCAACTGTCTTCCACTTATCCATGCCACAGTTTTGATGTTCCCGGGCCCACTGTAAGCATAAATGATGCTTGGTCAACAGAGGCATACAAGTGGAACATCTGCTGTGCAGTCCCAAATCCAACAGAGTCTGAACTGTGTGTTCCAAAACACTTGCACATGGACCTGTACTGATCGGACTGTCAACTGAGCCACTGTCTGGTGCCAGTTTTGTTGTACCAAGCGGGAGAGTTTCCGACATCCGTTTTCTTTGATGACACGTGGATGTTCAACACTTTGGCGTCTAGTGCTGGTTTCACTGTCATTTATCCACATTGCATATATACTAACAATGGCAGATCGGGAACAACTTACCAATCCTGCAGTCTCAGAGATACTCATTCCGAGTCTTCGGCCATTACATTCTGCGATCTATCAAATTTGCTTAGATCAGCAGCCTTCCCCATCACTTGCAAAAATAAATGCAAGAATGATTCATTTTCCTTCTCTAGCAGCAGCTAAATACCATTCCCACTTAATAATGTGCCCTCCATGTCATTGAGATGAGTTCATTGAAAAATATAGGGATGGTCATAATGTTTTGTCTCATCAGTGTATATAAAGATATATAAAAGACAAATGTTGTTACAGCTGTGGGAAGATGAATCAAACATTTCGATCTGATGGAATGGCAACAGTTTATATATATATATATAGGATGTAATTTTTTTATAACATGAATTTTATCATGTAGTGAAAATCATTTGTTTCAAATTTACTACAATACCACAGCATATTGCCTCTAATCTCTTGAAAGCATTTAGTTATGTTTGAAAGAAAGAATAAATAGATTTCATTTCTGATTCTTATTTGATTTCATTTATATAAAAAGTATTTGTGAAGTTGAACTGTTTGGTTTCTTGAATTTATATTATACATTATTCGTATTTTGAAATTCCTATAAAATCTACTTCCTTGTCTGCAAGGCAAAATTTTATTGCTGCCTTTAGTTATCGGCAGAATCCACAATAACCAGGGAAAAAAGTACTTAAAATAAAAATGCACTTAGAATTTTTAAAAGGTGAAACTACGAATGCATATAATTGAGGTTCGCATTAGGAAAAGAGGGCATACATGGATTCAGATTGCATTTAATGAATTGATTAAATGATTTAGAAAAGTAGATTAATTTTCCTTCAGTAAGGCCTTAATAGGGGACTTTCGAAGGGAAATTGATTTCACAGCTTTGTAAACTGGCTTTTGAAGGAAAGCTAAGCACATTACACATGGAAAAAATGACAAAAAATCATCCATGCAGCAGCCTTTCAACTGGGATCTAATGCATATCAAACTTCCAAATACAACTCAACAATTTTAACCACTTGCCCACTGGTGGGACCTTTCAGAATGTTTATTTAAATATAAAATCTTCTTACTTCTTCAGTCTTATGCAATGTTTGAACAAAAGACATTAGGGAAAGTATATGAGGAAAAAGCTTTCTGTTTCTCTCAAAGAGGTGGCTGCATCAATGAGAAATAAAAATTGCATTTTATTTTTTATTCATGCTTAATAAGCAAACAAAGTTAACACATTAGTAAGTAATTGGAGAAATGTAGTTCTGTTTGCTTTTTGTAATTGCTCTGATGTCAGCAAAAATATTTTTTCTGTCAAGTAGAGCCATGATATTGAAACAGCATTTGCAACATAACATATCTTGTTGAATCTATATTTTGTCAATTTTGCTTTTTGTTTCAAGTTTGATGAATTTCTTTCTAGCATTCATCTAAGTAAGTTTGTCTGAAGATATATTCATTCATCAGGTCAACTGTGAGGTGTAGACTCTGCTAGCAAAAAGTATATGCTTCCATTCTCAGGCTTTCAAAATGGAATGGAGTCATCCATAAATTCTTTGATGCTTTGCGTTCATTCATGGAAACTGAAATCTTTGAGACAATAGCTGTAGATAAGTGGAAACCAGATACCAGTGTCTTTCCATCTTTATTTTCCACAAATTTATATTAGGATGCTTCAAAATGTTGAATTACAAAATACTTCTCAAAATTTATTGATTTTTACAGTTTGCAGCTTATGAGGATTTCATCAATAGAAAATGGCCAGTTTGAAGTCTCTTGTGGCGGCCAGGAGGCCATGGTAATTTATAGCTTGCTTGTAATCATTGCTTTTGGCATTTTAGCTGAGACTTGCTCATAGTAACATATATGGCTCAAATCAGAAGCATGATGGAAGAGGCTGCTTGGCCTCGGGAACAGAACATGAGTCCATTTTATAGAAGTGAATCCATTATCCCCTATCGCTGGTAAAGGTTTGATGTCATGGCCTCAAGGTCTGTTCCTGAAGCGAGGCAATCTCTCACACCATGGTTCTGATTCAACTCATAGATGCTCGATTCCTGGCCACAGCTCTCTCTTGAAATTTCACAATTTTTAATTTATGCTTCAAGAGTTTAAGAGAAAACAAAAACAACTATACTTTACAATATGTTAGGTCATTAGTGATTGTATGTCTGCCAAGACCCGTTTACTAACTTTGAATTTTGATATTGCTAGGTTACTAAAGTCTGCTAATTTGGCCACAGTTCATTGCAAGATGAAGATCTTCTGTAGATCTATTCAAATTCTATTAAGCGAGCATGACAATCTTTTTTGCTTAAATATTTTTAGTTCCACAAATATCTTTAAATTTAGATGTATATACCTGTGTATCCTAAAAAAGAGATAAAGCACAAAACATTACTGAAATTGGTATTTATGCTATTTTGATAGAAAATTCCAGTATACAGTTAATACGAGGGCTATCCAGAAAGTAGATTACGTTTTGGAATAAAAAAATAAACAAAGTATAGGAAACAAATTTTATTATATACAGATGAAAGCCACACTCAAATACTACTTTTCTACATAGTCACCATACAAATTAAGGCATTTATCGTAGCGATGTACGAGCTTGGAAATTCCTTCGTCGAAAAATTCGGCCGCCTGCGCCTTCAACCACTTCGTTACCTCTTCTTGCCTTCCATCTTGCACAAAACTTGTGGTAACCAAGCTTTTCGCTGATGATTTCGTGTGCAACAAACTTCGCGAAATTTGTGGAAAACTCAAAGAAAGTTCCGTTATTGTGAAATTTCGATTTTCACGGACTTTAGCATCGACTTTTTCGAGAAGTTCGGCGGTCACTATGCTGGGTCTCCCACTTCGATCTTCGTCGTGAACATTGGTTCGGCCATTTTGAAATCTTATGACCCACTGACGCACTCCACCTTCAGTGATAATGTTGTCCCCATACACTTCACGAAGCTGCCGATAGATTTCTATCGGTTTACAGTTTTTTGCAGTCAGAAACCTTATTACTGAGCGCACCTCGCAGCTCGCGGGATTTTCAATTAACGCAGACATTTCAAACCGTCACAGTATCTGAACGGAGCACAGCACGAACCTCTCACTAGCACGGCTAGATGCAGACTGAGCTGCGCAACGCTCTGACCCCAAGATGGCCGCGCTAGCCCCGCCCCTAGCGGACACAGACGGAAACGTAATCTACTTCCTGGATGGCCCTCGTATGTCTCAAAATTATCATTTTCTGCATAAAAGTACTGTCATTTAAAGGGTAAGAATGGCAAAGTAAAGATGTAAATTGTTTATGTAATTTTTATAGCGGCATATTTTGAAAGGCTCAAGTAAGAAAAAAGAAGAAATAGAGTTTCGCCATTCCAGTTATGAAGTGGTAAGAATTTCATAAAGTATATTTATTAGCATCTTTGCATATACTGTTACTACTAAAATTCTATAAACTGCTATACGTATTGTAAAATACATATATTTTGCTGATAACAGTAAATATATTCTCTGAGTTTACAAATATCCTAGTACCCAATAAATATTCCAAAATATGCTCTGGAAGCTAATTATTATTATCTACTTCTCACTTAAAGCTGTTGTCATTTGATAGTATCAGTTTGAATATTTTTTAATAATTCTCAGCACATTGTGGAAAGAAAAGAAAATTAATAAATACTGATATTTTTTTATGTATATTCATTTTACATGCATACTCATACTGAATCTTTCTCTACATTGATGGAACCAGGTTTGTACACTTTTTTCTCTTCAGGTTCATTAATAAATAGATCTTTTTTTTAATCACAGTCATTTAGGCAAACCCATGCTTAGTCATTTAGGCAAACCCATGATGTATTCCCATTTATCGCCTGCTGAATAGTTTTCTTACAAGGTTCTACAAATTGTTCTATGTTTATCCACATACCTGGGCAAAAATTGGTGATCATTATGTTTATAGAGTTTCACTTTCTTTGATAGCATAAACTCATGAGCTCTAGAAAGACTACAGCGGAATAATACTCTTGTACTTACATACTAATACTCTTGTACTGTACTATAATACTCTTGTACTGTAGAGAAAGTCAGGTGTAAATAGCCCTTTTATTTGAATACAAAGAAGTAACAATGACCCAACTTGAGTTTACACAAGGCAACATTTCTGTCTTAACTTAAACAAGTAATGTTGAACAAAAATCAAATGTAGTTAGATTAGCCAATGGCTCAAAGGGTAAAGTAATGTGCAGGAGGAAGGCTGTGGTTTGTAGAAACCAGTGAGATAAGCCTAATGGCTAGATGTACTCAACACTACAGAATCAAATCACTATTAGTCATGGTAACAACGTTTCCTCGAGTAGGCAGAACACGCTCTAAAATCAACTTGCAAAACTTTCATTTAAATAGCACTTCTTTTTCTCTCAATCTGAATAAGCGCACACTAACTCATTTACATTCTGGCATAAAAAGCATGGGTGTAAAAGAGAGCAGCAGGAAAGCTACTTCAACTCAAAATTAAGTATTAGTCAAAAATAAGTAGATAAATCCTCACATGTTTTAGCTTTTTTAAGTTGTAAATCTTGGTTTATTATTTTCTTCATTGTTGCTACAGGGGTATTTAAAAATGTTGCAATTGATTTCTGTTGGCAGATTTTTCTCTTATTAACAACAATTTAATATTAGAAACATTATAAATGGTATGTACCTTTTTTGGGTATTCATTTGGAGTCTTCTTTCCGCGTAGAAGGTAATGACTGACTTTTATTCCCTCTCCGCTTAATAATACTGCATATTTTACACTTAGAAATTTTGATACCGTGATTTGCACAATGTTTTTGAAGTGTGGAATTGGAATATTTCTCTTTGGAATGCACAAAAATATATCCTTGAAGTCACAGCTTGTTTACATGCAACATTTGAAAACAAGAATTAAATTTAAAAGTAGCAGACAATACTTTTCATTTCAAATAATTTGCTGTTGCTGGAAATTTTTATGCCAATCTGCTTTTTAAAATTTTTTATTAAAATTGTTTCAAAAATGTGTAAACACCCTTTGTAAAATTAAATATATGACAGCTACATAAAAGGCTGACTCCATTCCCTTTCCATAAAACTATGAAGTTCCTCCAGGGGGGAACTCTCCACTGGTTGAGAAGCCCTGCTATAAAGGTTCAAATTATTCTAATGCAGTTTGTTGACTTATATAATTGTATTATATCTTTAGTTAGTCCCCTATAATACAGTGTAACTTTAAATGCACAAAGTTCTGTACCTGTATTTTTACATCACATTATTTTCCAAGTATAGTTTAATATTGCTATATCATTACATTGTTGCTAAAGGATATATGTTGAAACTCCATTTAACTACAACAGAAGAGTAACAGTAAAGCAGAAAACTGATCATCTGTTATTTATTCCAATTTTGGATTATATTATTTCATTTCTCTCATTGGTAAAACTGATTTGGCCATTCATGCTATATGCTCACTGAAATACATCCATGTATTGTGATCAGTATATATGCAATATTTAGCAACTGATGAAAACTTGCTAAAAGCATGTTAGCATTAAATTTTTCATTCATTCTGGAATGAAAGTGCAACAGAAATATATATAAAATATGATAGGTAAAGTATCCTGTCATAAATGCAAGCTTTCATTTGGTTTGACTCTTTGAAAAATTCTTAAAGGAAGTAAAAAATGATGAAGTTTATATATATGTATATATATCTGTGTGTTAAGATAAAAAAATATGTAAATCAGCTTTATAGTTTCATTTAGTCTTAATTCCTAATTTTTAATTTGGGTATTTCCTTTCTTATTATAAAAATAATAACTTTTTTGGACTGCACTATTTCTGGATTAATTTGTGTCACATGGCTTGAGTAATGCTGATGACATAGCTTATTATTATTCAGAACTTGAACTCAAAATGTTGAGAAGTGAACCTTTTCTGACTTGAACCAAAACCATCTGTTGGTAAGCCTCCATATTCTATAATTACATGCTTTAATTTCTGCCTTTCTTCTGTAATGAAGTTATTTCACTGTGCTGTCTTTTTATTGCAACAGTATCAATGTAAATTTTCTGGAAGTAGGCATGATTAGATTTTCAAGTGAATTGTGGCCACAAATGTCAATTTAAATAAAAATGGAATTTAATCCACCTCAACTGCCGACTTCTTAGTCATTACAGATTTAACATTTTAGCATTCTACATACTCAGAAATTTTCCTCTTTAAAATGGATCTACATTCAAAGCTATCTATGTTTTACACCAACAACATTTGCTACATCATTTTCTTCTTCTTAATCACACACACACATACAGGGGTTGGACAAAAATATGGAAACACCTTTAAAAAAACATGTTTCTTTGCTTAATATGGTGTAGCAAACCCGTTGACATCCAAAACAGCTTGCAGTCTTCTCGGAATGGATACATACAGTTCCTGTATGTTTGCCAAGGGAATATTATACCATTCTTCCTGCAAAACGGTGGCAAGTTCAGATAACGATGTTGGCGGTGGATAACGAGAATGCACTTTCCATTCCAATGTAGACCACAAAGGTTCGATAATATTCAGGTCTGGTGACTGTGGTATCCAGGGGAGATGGGACAACTCATCCTCGTGCTCAGAAAACCAGTCCTGGACAATGTGAGCTGTGTGAACAGGGGCTTTGTCGTCTTGAAAGACACCATCACCATCGGGGAACAAAGTTTGTACCATGGGATGAACTTGATCGGCCAAAATGTTCACATAAGTCTTGGCAGTCATGTGCCCTGACACAGTTATCATGGGGCTAGCAGAGAACCACGATATGGCTGCCCAAATCATAACAGAGCCCCCGCCATGTTTCACTCTTGGCAACAAGCAGTCTGTATTATAGGCTTGAGATGGCGTTCTCCAGACGTAAACTCGGCCAGAAGTGGGAAACAATGTGAAAGAAGACTCGTCAGACCATATTACTCGCTTCCAGTGCTCTATAGTCCAGGCTTTATGACTTAAACACCACCTTTTCCTGTTACTGGCATTAGCATCACTGATGAGTGGCTTCTCAATTGCAGCACGGCCAGCAATTCCCTGTTTATGAAGCTCCCTTCTAATTGTTTTGGTACTCACAAGGGTTCGGTAACACAACATTCATTTCAGCAGTAACTTTTGCAGCTGTGGTCTTCTTATTTTTCATCACTATTGCCCTTAATGATCATCTGTCACGATCACTCAGGACACACTTTCGTCTGCGCTGTGATTTAGCAGATGAAGTTTTTCCGCTTTTCAAATATGCGGAATAAATCTTCGATACAGTACCTCTTGAAACACTAAACACCTCGGCTACTTTGCTTACGGAAGCCCTTACCATACGTGCTCCAACAATTTGCCCACGTTTGAAGTCTGTTAACTCTGACATAATGCAATGACAACCTCACATAACAGTACTCCGACAACAACTGAACTGTTTAGCACATTTACGAAGTTGTATAGGTGGCGTCAGTAGTCAAAAACGCCAGCGCCACCTACATATTTCATTAAAATCAATCTTTCTTTTCAAACATGCATTTCACAAGGTGTTTCCATATTTTTGTCCATCCACTGTATATATATATATATATTAAATATAGTATTCAGCCAATTACATCGCACATAGCAAAAAGGCCTGTCTGCACATCACTCGATGTTTGTATGAGTCAATCAACAAGAAGAGGCCTTAATATTCAACTAATCAATTCCTTGCTGTTGCACAGTAACACAACTGAGATAAATTAGCCATAATGTCTGGGAAGTTTTCAAATTAAAATCACACATAAATAGCTTATTATGTGTTGTTGCTACAAAACATAAATATTTTTTAGATTTTAATGTATAATTATACTAATATTGTTTAACCCCTTCAGGACAGGCGTCCCATATATGCATTTCCTAAGAACGTCTCTTACAGCGGAGCATCCCATCCACGAAACACTAGAGATTGAATTCAGAGGACGGGTGATGCGTATATGCATTTTAAGCTGGAACGTTTTTATGAAGGCCACTGGATGGCATTCTATGTCCATTACTTTTGAAATAAACACAGTTTAGGTTCCTGACCTTGAGTTTGATATATTCTGTCTGACTTTGGTATTTTACTCATCAACTGTTGCGAGGGTGGGGGCAGGGAAAGCGTAAACAGAGGTGGGCTCTTTAAATTGCCACGTGCTAATATAAATATTTGCATGTCTGATTTATATCCAGTTCCTTTTTTTATTCTGTTTTTTTTTTTTTTCTTCTTCTTCTACTATGTCTGGTCTTTTAGGGTTAATATGTTGAATTCTGTTACATTTTGCATTGCCTTCAGATATATTTCCGTTTCTTCTCTTTTTATTTCGGAAAGGCCTCACCTCCAGTCTATTATGGCGAGAAGGCACTATTTATCAAAGGAATAATACCCTCATATGGTTAATGAACCATTTACTAACGCAGATGAGAGTGATGATACTTTTTCTAAGAGTTAGAAAGTGATACTTCTCCATGCTTCGAGATTTACCACACTCAGTCTTAATTTAAAATTTTGTTACTTCTTACTGTAAATATTCTTAATTGTGTTGTTTTATTAATTTTATTAATTAAAACTTTGGAATAATTTGAATAGCGCTTCCGAAAATTATTTTACAAGGTAAGGAAATTTTTAAGTATATTTTCATGTAAAATAAAGAAAAAAACGTTATTAAGTGCTAATTTTAACATGTATAAGAGCTCAAGTAATAATATAAAATGATACCAAAAATTACAATGCTAGAAGTTAAGCTCTTTTTTTTTTTTTTTTTTTTTTTTTTTTTTTTTTTTTTTTATATATATATATCGCTAAGCCTATATATATATATAGGGCTTAGCGATGGAAAACCTCAGTCCTGTACGGTGACTGCCTTCGATTCTCTTTTGTCAACCATGAGCGTCTTAAACAAAGGTGCGCCATCGCGAAAAGGTTAAGAATCAATGTCATAAATTACATGTGTTTTAAATTGTAAAATGTTATAAGACTGATTTTAATAGTGCTTCTTTAGTAAATATTTTAAGAAAATAAATAAAATTTAATAGTGGCAATGTGAATCTATAATGTGTAAGAATATATAATTACCAAATTTAATTATTTACAACTAATTGCTCACTCATAAAAATTACCTTCGCATGTTAAAGAGATTTATTGTCTTTCATTAATTCTTATTGTGGTCACAAGATACAACACAAAAATGTAAAACTTATTCCTTCCAGCTAGTGAGACCTCAAAATAATACAAAACAACTTATCACTCTAGTGCTTTAGCAGCTAATTGGAACCTTAATGTATATTAACTGGGTTAAAACTCCAGGATTTCTACATGAAGCTACAACACTAACTGCTTCAGACAGACAGAGCATAACTAACTTTCAACACTTACCATCATGTCAGCATCATAGGTTCAGGTCTGTCCTAATCAGCAGGTTAGGTTAGGTTAGGTTATTTAATTACGGCAAAGCCTTGAGGGCTATCTGCCTAAGGAGAGGGATGCCTTCGTGGAGGACTTTCTAAGGGAAACTGGCTCTTATACACATTACACATGGGGACCACAAAAACACCCATGCAGCCAGCCCGTTCGTGGGATTCGAACCTCGGACTGAACTACTAGTGTTCAGCGACTTTACCGCTCGGCTGCTGGTGGGCCCTCTGATCAGCAGGTCTCTTTGTAGACAAGCAGCAGCAGTGGCAACTGCTTCTGACAAGTGATGTTTCTGTTATGAATTATGTTGATTAGGATTTTACTTCTCAATTTAACCTATGCCGTTTGACATAAAAATTTGCCTGTTATTTACTAAACCTCTGGATTGAGTAAGTACATGATGAAACGAAGCATAAAAGAAAAGAATCAGTATAAATCTAGTTGTTAGTAAAATGTCACTAATCTTCTTTAAAATATGTCCAACTGTTACAAATGTGAATTATTTAATGCTACTTGATAAATCTTTCAAGTTGATTTTATTCTCAAATTGTTTTTATAAATTATATTTAGAATTAGATTATGTTTTAATAATAACACATCCTACTCTGTTTTATTCTTAAGATCGTACTAATATGTGAAGTTCAGGCACAGATAATGTCTTTATTTAATTTTCATTTGCTGATAAACCTTAATATTTTTTTTTTTTTCCCTTAAAAGTACTTAATTTCTATGTCCAGAAATGAATATGAATCCTGACTGTATTGAGCATGTTAATGTTGTAGGTTGGATGCCAGTGCTACTGATATTATTCCAAGTTCACTTCAAAGCATATGCAGAAACTACTTTCCTGTGCTAATATTAAGTAATAAATCCTAGAAACGTTTAAGTATGTCTTATGTAACTAAATCCTTGCAGTTTGCAAATGTTTAATGCAAGTTAAAGAATGAAGAATTCTGTAGTTTGCCTATAATGCATAAACTATTTCTGAATTTTCACTCCACTTTCTGTTTTGAAATAGTTATGAGTTATGTCATATCTTTTGGTACAAATCTAATGTTGGGGTAGCTGAGTTCCAGGTTTTATGGTGCCACCACAAAACTTTCAATCATTTTTTGAAAGATCCATGAAATTAATCAGCATCTCAATATTTATTCTGTTATATTAGATTTTAATGCTATTAATATGTAATTTTTTCAAACTGAATTTAATTTATTTTTTATTGTAGGTTATGGCCATGTCTAAATCAACTGAATCAATCCCTTCTCCAAAAAAATCTACCTCAGTAGATGCCCTATATTTAGAAGAAAAGGACTCCAAATTTTCAGACCTGAGAAAGAATTTTCTGAGATCTTCAAGGAAAAAAGTGCAAAAACTTGTAAAACCGGACAGAACTGCATTTTGAAAATGCAGTTTTAAAGTATTATTGTGGGAGGGAAAAAAAAAAGAAAAAAAAAGAAAAAGAAAAAGGTTTTAGCTCTTTGTGAGTTAAATATATTCATTTGACATCTATATAAAATTCTAGCTAGGTATAAATGCTTCTCTTGATATTTTCAGATAAAACCACACATTAAATTGTTGCAAACGGTAATGTAAGTAAATGTATGTAATTATTTTTTATAATAAAGTGATTTAAATTTGCATTGTTTCACTATGAAACTCTGTTTTATTTCTTTATTAAAGTAGACCACTTTAAAATAATCAGTCAACATTCTGATTCTGTGTAGATTTGGTTAGTACTGTAAAATCCTCTTAAAAAGACCTCTCATAGCTTCCGATGATTTTAATCATCTGTGGTGATGATCAACTTAGAGAGATGCTCAGTAATGATGTTTATTTATGCTTGAAGAAATGCTAGTCACTTTTAGAGACATTCATCTATGGAAGATGGTTATCGTGAGAGGTTTCACCATGACTTGCATAAAAGCTGCTATCACAGAAAACATAGATGTAAGAAAGAAAAGACTAAAACTGCAATGATGTTAGTTTCCATTTCACTTATTTTTCAGATTATTGCAGTAGTTTATTTGATAAAAATATGTTTAAAAAACAGTAATTTTTATCCCCTTAAGTAAATGCAAAATTTTAATTTTTAATTTTTTTGAAATTTCCATTTTTTAAAGGAAAAAATATGTATCTTTGCTTTTAGATGATTCCTTCTATATAAACTGCTTTGTTAAAGAATGCAACCAAGTATTAGAGTTCAAATTAACCTAAAGCTCTTTACTTAAAATTCATATCTGGAAATATGCCTATATGTCAAAAATTCATATGTGGTAAATAAACTGACGAGACAAAACATTATGACAATCCCCACATTTTTTAATGAACTCCTCTGGATGATAGGATTATATTTCTTATCTCTGCAAGCTTTTGAATATTATATAGCAGGATTTAGAATTAAAGAGTAGAGGGAACATGATTAAGTGGCATTATTATTTAACTGCTGCTGTTGAAGGTAAGGAATCATTCTTGCATTTACTTTTGAGAGTGATGGGAAAGGCTGCTGATTTAAAAGAATTTTATAGAGGGCGGATTATAATGGCCCGAAAACTCGGAACAAGTATCTCTGAAACTGTTTGACTGGTAAATTGTTCGCAGTCAAACAGTCTCGTTCTGAGTTTTTAAGGCCATTATAATTAGATCTGCTGCAATCTGCCATTGTTAGTATTTATGCAAAGTAGATAAATGATGGTGAAAATTTATGCAAAGTAGATAAATGACAGCCATAGACATCAAAATGTTAGACGTCCGCGCATCATCGAAGAAAAAAGTATGTTGAAGACTGTCTCACTTGGTATAGCAAAACTGGGGCCAGATAGTGGCTCAGCTGACAGCCCAATACAATGCGGGTCCAAATGCAAGTGTTTTCAGAACACACTGTTCAGCTAATGTCCCACTCATGTACATCTATTGAATAAATCATTGTCAACTACACCTACAGTAGGCCCGGGAACATCAAGACCGTGAATAAGTGAAAGACAGTTGCCTGGTTAGACAAATCATAATTTCTCATTCATCATGTCAGGGTACATTATCTTGCTGGTGAAGGGGACGTTCTCGTGGGTGGCTCTGGGACCCTTAGTTGTGGTGTAATAGACCACAGAAGCTGCAGACTATCTGAGCGTAACTGCAGATCGGGTGCACCCTTCCATAAGTTGGAAAGACAGACATACCCTGTCTTTCCAACTGGAAATGGAATCTTCCAGCAGGACAATGCCCCATGTCACAATGTTCGAATTATATTGAATGGGTTCGAGTAGCTTAAGGATGAATCCCAGTTAATGTTTTGGGCCACCTAACTCATCGGATTTTAACCTGGTAGAGCATATTTGGGATGTCATGGACTCGTAAGTCAGAGCTCAAACGCCACCCTGTCAGAATATCTCAACTTTGCATGACTGCTACTTAGATATTTGGTTTGTCTCTAGTCATCTACCAAAAATTTGTGACATCTATGCCAGGGAAGTCGCTGCTTTTTAGAAGGCAAAATGTCGCACAACGATTGAGTAAGTGGTCATATTGTTTTGAGTATTCGGTATATACTCTAATATTGTAGGTGAGTTTTTTAATGTTTATAACAATGAAAAAATACATCGAGATCTTCTAAATACCCATGTCAAATGAAAGGAGTGGATTAAAAAAAATAGGTGTTGGTGTTGGTGTATTTAATTATGGCAAAGCACACTAGGGCTATCTGCCTAAAGGGAGGAATGCCTTCGTGGAGGACTTTCTAAGGGAAACTGGCTCGTATACACATTATACATGGGGAAAACCACGAAAACGTCCATGCAGCCAGCCCGTTCGTGGGATTCGAACCTCGGACCGAACTACCAGTGGTCAGCGACTTTACCGCTCGGCCGCTGGTGGGCCTAAAAAAATTGGAATAAACTCACACAGCAAAATAAACAGCTGTAATTGTCCAATTTAAAAACATGTCTAAATAACCATGTCAAATGGAAAGGATTTGATTTTAAAAAAAGGAAAAAATTGGAATAAACTCACACAGCAAAGTAAACAGCTGTAATTTTCCAAGTTAAAAACAGAAATAAAGAAAATTCCCTTTTAACATATAAAGAAGTTTCACATCATCAAAAAGGTAATAATCAAGCAGAAGCTCATGCATTTACTCCAGGCAGTTACATGACTATGAACTGAACTGAGTGATTGGATGCAAGCTTCAATATAACTAATATTTATAAGGTCATACAAGAAAGAAGGTAAGGACTTCTGAAAGGTATGAGAAAAATCCCTTAAGGCTTTAATTTTTTTTTAAATAAATTTCAAGAAATTTCACCAGGTTTTTCAAAAATCACCAGATGTCATCAAAGCCTATTGGGGGTTTCTGCCCATATGTATCTTTTGTTTTAATTGAGCTATTTTACCATTCAAATATTGATCAGTTCAGAATTAAAAGATCTGCAACGTAATACATGATATAAGCATTTACAAACACAATATATGGCCACAAATTCAATTCAATAAAAATTTTATAATTGCAAAAAATGACTTAATTAAATAAATATATATAACATTGCAGAAATGTGCAAAACCTAAACTACTAACAAACACAAAAATTAATGCCGGTATATTTTATCAGTGCAGCTATTGAAAAGACACAAAAGTACTTAAATAAATAAAATCTTTTATTCTCTACTCAGGGTTTTCTTAATAGAAAAGTGTAAGAAAATATCAAAATAATATTAGCCTAAGAAACATAAAATTTAAAATACTGTAACAAACCACAAAAATACATAACCTTTCTTCACTCATTTTCAAGGTTACAGGGATTTTGCCCTTAACTTTTGAACTTAAATTCTACTGCTGTTCGAAAATTAAAAGGAAGTAGTAAGTGATTCTTGAGATGCTATGGTGTAAGCAATGATAATCCACCCCCTTGTGTTGTTTTATGTCCTTTATAAATATTTGTTACATTTGTCAAGTAAATATATTCAAATTAATTTTCGAGTTATGATTTTAGGAGAGACTTCTCTTCTGTAACCTGAATCATCCATTATTTAGAGGTCTTTTGGAAAGGTATTGCTGGGCAAAACAAAAAACCTCTTGGAAACTCCCAATCTTCACTGAAGAATCTCACAATTTTTCACATTTCAAGATTGGCAGCTATGATTTTTTTGTCATACTTATATGAATTCTGAACCAAGAAACTTATTAAAGGGAATGAATTTCAGACTGCTTTATAATTTTGATCAAATTAGCAGTTACGATAATTTTAATTCCTGGCATATTTTATGTGTGCAGCTACTATATCTTGGACTCATATACTGATGCTATGATAGGTGTTATGTCTATGATATAAGAAATATCAACATTTATTTGAGGAACTTTATTATTTTAAATATTTCATATAATACCGAAATAAAGGACAGAATGTATGAATGTCTTTCGCGTTATTTTAGATTAGATTATTTGATTATGGCAAAGCACACACGGCCATATGCCTAAGGGGGGTAAAATGCCGTAGTGGGGAACTTTCGAAGTGAAACTAACTCGTGTTCACCTTTACATGGGAAGAACCAGCTACGTAGCCAATCTGTTCGCCTAAGCTGAACTACCACTATTCAGCAGTTTTTAACCACTTTGTCATAAGAAGCCCTGGGTGCGTTAGGTTTGTTAGAGCATTAGTATCCAAATATTAAGTATGATCTTTTCCTGGTGCTAAAAGTGTATCAGAAAGTGCTGCAGAAATGTGCCTAATCAAAAGAAAAAAAGGTCTTGGCCTGGACGAAAACAGTCTTAGAAATAGCATTCCTTCAGGAGACTCACCCCTTAGACGCAAATTTCGATCGTTCAATACTTTATCATAAATCTTGTCACCTTCTTTGGTTCAATTTTGTTCGCACTAGTAACATAGCTTTTATCACTTCAACACTGAAGTTATATTTCACCTATGAATTCATAATCTTTATATTAGAAAATATTCTTTCAAAGGAGCAGAGCTGTAACTAGGATTTTCAGAGCTCAGGGACAAGTGAAGATTTCGCGCCTCTTCCTCTTTGTCAAGAATGGAAAACATTTCATTCTAAAATTTTACAATACAGTACAAAGTCTGTAATCCGGACGTCCATTATCCGGAATAATCCATAATCCGAACCTCAAAGCCACAAACTTTTTTTGTATGCTTTACGCATGCGCGTTTAGCCCAGAAAACAAAGCGACTTAAAAACAACTTGCATTGAAAGAAATATTTAATAAAGTAAACAAATAAATATTAAGCTTTTTTTGTAAATTTTGATACTCTTTAGATCATAATTGCTCTTTATTTCATAAATTACGGTTTCATGTTTTTAATTGTATAATTTCTGCATGCCATCTTACCAGATTTAAACTGATGATCTATAATTCGGAAAAACTCTTAATCCGGAATCGCCGAAGTCCCGACGAGTCCGGATTACGGACTTTGTACTGTATTATTTTGGCGTCTCTTTGATTTTTTTTGGGGGGGCGGGGACAGATGTCCACTCTTTCTTCCCTCTAACTATGTCACTGCAAGAGAGCAGTACTTCTTGGAAGGTAACTTCTACAATTTTAAAAAATCTTGAAAGTTTAACAGTCTTTCATTCATGTCAGAAAACACTCCGATGCAGGTATGCTCTCTTTACTTTCCGCATCCAACTACCTCAAAATTACAGATTTTCTGGAAGTCGATCGAATACACGAGTTTCATTTGTTTTGGTGGGTGAGATGAGTTTCCCAGTAAAGCTAGCCTGTACTTGTTTCCATTCAAATGACTACTTTACATTTGAACTTCTTAGTTTTTCTAAGTTGTGCTTCCACTTGTTGATATGCTCTAAGCTAATTTCCGAGAAATTTATCTACCTCCCAAAAAGTAGCCTTAATAATTTATCCTGAATCTGCTAACACTTTTTTGACATAAGTAATAATAAACATTTCACTTTTTCTTTATTCTAAATTATTTAGAAAATTTTCTTCGACAGTTGAAATAGTGGCTTTTGCAATTAAAAAAAAGTATGTCTGTAAATGTAGACATTTCAGACCCTTTCCACAATTACTTCATGCAAAGACTCTCTAGCCATTTCTCGCAACATAGATAAAGCATTTTTCTGGAGAAACAAACAAAATCCCAATAAAACATACTGTTAGTATACAAGTTTTATTTATTATTGAATGGTAAAAATCATGCTAGAGCCAGTACAACCAGTACGGCTGCACCAAGCGGAAGAATTTAAGGGTGGCAAAATTTTTAGAATTTTAAGAAAAATCCAGCAGTGAAATTTAACGATGGGGCATTTTTTAGAATTTAGGATAGGCTTTGAATAGCAGAATACAGGGACGACAAAATTTTCAGAACCTAGGTACTGGGCAACAAAAATTAGGAATAGCAGAGATTGCACGGGAGGGAAAATTCTTAATCTCCATCATTAGCGAGAAATAAATATTTCACTTGTGATTGAGATGATTGAGCTGTAGAAATTCATTAAAAGGTTTCATGCTTTATTTGATTGTACTTATTTTAGAAATACTGAAGAGAGAATTATTTGTGATGTAGTATGGTGTGTTCTTGCAAGTAGCTTTAGATCTTATCTTGCAAGATGTGCATTCTTTTTTAAATCTTTTATCTCTACACAGAGAAAAGCAATTCTTAAAACTGTTTTATAAAGAACATTTGCTATTTTGTCACACTGGTGGGCGTATTTTCACTCTTGTAAGATTTTTAGTCCAAAAGGGGGGACTATTGTTCTCGTTTTGCAATTTTGCGTTGAATCACTATAAATGTCCGTTTCACTTTTCAAACTGTTGCCACCAAATGTTAGAGTCCTGCATTATATTTGAAGAAATTAAATAATGAAAAATCTGCATAAATGTATGTATATTTCTGATAAAACAAAGGTACATGTTTCTGATAAAACAACGGTACATAGAGCTATCGAATTTTGAATGACGTAATCCTACTGCGAATATGGGCATGTGGTAGACCAAATTTGAAATTTGGAATTTGTTTTATTATCAATTTCATATTTTATAAAACTTTAAAGAATTTTTGAGTAACAAACTCAGCGATTTAAAAGCGAACAATGGCAACTCTCTCCGGGGAGGGATCTTTTTATCTCCAGCGCGCAGAACTGTGTATCGGAAATTGTAAAGATATGCTGATTTTAAATTTATTTTGTGACCTTGCTATTGAACTGAATTTTATGGTTTAAGTGAAAAGAACATGATATTTAATAAATACAGACAATCTGAACAAATCTGAATCTTTATTCAGAACAAATCTTCAGAACGAATCTTTTTCAGAACAAATCTGAATCTTTAATCAAATTTAAAATCTGAAACCTTTCAGATTTTTATTTTTTTCCACCGTTGCATTTTTCAACAAAATATTTGCTTTCAGTTTTCCATTGATCACGGTCGTTGAAATATATGGCTATGGATGTTCTATGATTTGAATGAATGATTTTTTTCTGAATACTATTGCACCAATTTTATATTTCCTTTTCTCCTCATCTGATTTGTCATACTGCAGGCAAAAAGACTTAAAACGTAAAACGTAAAGAACGTAAAACGTAACACTTGTCTTCTTTCTGTTTGTGTTTTGTTTAATTTCGTCATCTGAATCATAACATTAGAGGATATTATTCGGTCTACGAGATACTAATTCTTAAAGCCTCAGTTTTATCTTGCCACTTTTTTTCTCTTTTAGTTTTATTATGTCAGCTGATACATCAAATTTACTTCTAGTGGATGATGATATGAAAACTCTGCTGAATTACAGTGTCTCAGAAGCAGACACTAAGGTTTCCTTTTTATATATTCTTTTTATGTAAATGATTGTTTAAAAGTAGCATTCCTTAATTTTCCATCCATGAAATGTGATAAAAGTCAAAGTATATTGGAGTAATTCTCATGGTTTTAAAGATATTTTGTTGAAAGAGATAAATGTTATGAATATGTAGTATGTAGCAAATAAAAGAATTTATTCGAGACTCGGATAAATTCTTTGATTTGATTTTATGCGTAGTGTGCTGGTTTTTTTCTTATGCATTTATTCAAATTTTTTTGAAAATGTAGTTAAGAATAAATTTAATTTCATTAATCTCTTCGTATAGCACTGAATTAAATAAAAGGAAAAGTTTCAACTAGGATATTTGCTATGATGCGTTATGTTTATGATAGTTAAATCTTTGGAGGCTACACGAAATATATCTTCCTTTATTTGTATTTTTTTTCCCTTCATCTCTACGGAGTGATCTCAAATAAACAAATAAAAATCTTTGTAATTTTATATATTTGCATGAAAATTCTGAAGTCAGCAGAAAACACGATTAAATAATTGCAAAAAATAATTGTATCAAAAATTAGAGTAGATTACCTGTGTGCTGTATGCATTGTATACTTTCATTATGTATTTGCCTAATTTTTATGTGTAAACATTCTTTCATCTTTTCTAGATATATCAGGAGAATTATGAAATGCAGTTAGCTTCTGATGAAGTTGATTTACAAACAAAATTTCATTATGCATGGTGTCTAGCTCATAGTCAACATCGAACTGATGTAAAAAAAGCTGCTGTTTTGTTAGAAGGTAAGAAAGTCTGATTTCTCAGGAAATTTTTCTTATAAATTATGTCTTGAAATTTCGTAAATTAGTGGTACTATCAAAGCTCTGTTGACATAGAATTATGTTATATCTCTTTGCTGTGGAATAATCTAAATTAATTTGCTTTATTGATTTTCCTCCCAAAAGTATATACAATGCTTTTACTGGGATGCTGTTAATATTTTAACTTATTTTGAAAAATATATTTTTTAATGTTTAATGTATAATTTTTTTTTTTTTTCTTAATGATTAATATATAAATGTTTCATTTAATGAAATTCTTTTGCTTTTTCAAAATAGCATATGTTTCGTAATTATTTGAATCTTGTTATTCTTTCAAAACTATGATGTAATATAATCATAGTTTTGAAAGGCTGTGTAACAATATTCAAAGAATTATAAAATATGTACTATCTTGAATTCTATTTTATTTTTTCTTCTGTGTAATTTTTTAAGGGGGCCTATAATTCATAATTATTAAATTTAATAACAGATGTTCAATGTCCAATATATAACAATAAAATATGGTTAGTCTATATTTTAGGGTGCCCTTTGGATTATCACCAAGTTTTTGTTTCATTTATGGTAACCCAAGTAGTTGAATGTTATGGAAACTCTATTTTGATGTGATTGGTTGTGTGATTACGTTGAATTTGATTGATGGGAAAATATTTGTAAGGGCATTGGATGTCAATTAGGAAGTATGTTGCTTATTTTGTGCTTTAGATCGTAAAATGGCTGTATATGATGAGAGTAATCTGAAGTTTCTGTATGATTTGGAGCAAAAGAGAAAAAAAGCATTGATTGACTGGTGTGTAAATGAAGATTTACTTAGTAGTCATTTTAAGTATTCTGTTTGTATGAAGGAAATGCGTATGGTCAAACGTAAAGATCGTTCACATGACTTTGAATGGGTTTGTCGCAAGAAAGGTTCATGCAAGAAAGCCATCGACAGCCCGGCTCTACAGAGGATATTTTTTGCTCATATTTTTGTGAATTTATGTGGTTACGGAGTGTGCATATTCTAGTTCAGATAATTTTAGAAAGTTTTTGGATGCTCTTCTTTGATTGGCTTCAAATTTTGTTCAATTTTAGTGATGAGTAACTTTGTTTTAACATTATATGATGTCATCATTCTCCTAATTTTTTTTTAAAGTGAAATTAGATTGTTGTGTTCATGGACAAAGGGAGTGCACAGTGCTGAGTTTGTGCAATTCTCTGATTTTTTTAAGTGAAAATAGATCGATGTGTACATGGACACCGAGTTTGTGCAATTCTTTGACTTGTTATTTTGGCTATGTGTAGCTGCCATCTTGAAATTGTGCCTTGCTGGCCAGTCACCAATTTTTGCCAAGGGGTACCCTGAAATATATTTTTACCATAAAATATAATAACATTTAGACCTCTGTTCATTAAACTGTTCAATTTTTGAACATGCTAATATATGTATAGACACAAAAAAGAGGGGGGGGATTAAATATTAAAGGTTTTCAGAAGTATTCAAATAAAAATTATTATGTTTAATATATTAGAAGCCTGAAGCTTTGGACTTGGCTCTATGCCTGATTGAAGCTTTGGACTATGCCTGATTGAAGAAACATTTATTTTGAATAATATATGATTTATGCTTTAACCTGTTTACTTTTTGTTTGTGCAAAATTATGTTTATGTATACTCTAAATCTTTTGTTTATGCAAAATTGGGTAAAAGTATATTTATTACGGGTACAACTTGGCGATTTTTGGCGGTACGTGGATACCGAGGGTTGATCTTTGGATTATGGTAACTTGGCGATTTTTTCGGCGAAAATTTAGCGACCAACTCTGCTACAGCAACCCTCTGTTTTTTTTTTTTTTTTTTTTTTTTCGCCGCCATTTTGTCTTCACGAAGTAAAGACATGTTTCTTTCTTTTATTTTACTGAACACACTTTTTCCAACAATCTTCTAGCCGAATTACACTTATGCTAGAAATTTTATGTAACAAAACTGCTTAATCATGACAAATATTAACTGCAAAATTGGGAAAACTCCTTGCGCGTTTTTCAGAATAGCACATACACATAAACCATTTACACGTTGACTTATTTTTACTTAAAAAAACATCCCAGAATTTCACAAAAATGGCATTGCACACACTCTTAACTTTATCCATCTACACTGCTATTTTCTCATAAATTACAAAAATTTGCACGAAAATGCAAAAAAAATTCTGTGAATCTTTAAACTTGGTAAAAACACATATATGAAAATTACCTGATCGCGAAAAAGTATATACCCTTTCCAAGGATGAACATTTCCACATATAAAATAAATAAAATATCCAAAAACTTTTACCTCTAAATTATCTATTATATTATAAACGTCACCAATGAATTCATACCGCAAACATTACAAATGGTTACAATGACTTAGTGTCAAATATTTAAATTATTTCCATACACGTTTGCTTCAACTGAAACGTATACCAAATTCCTACAAACATAAAATTCACAAAATAACTATCATTTAATTAAAATATCACTAAACCATGTACACGTCGACTTATTTTTACTTAAATATTTTTACTTAAAAAAAATCCCAGAATTGCACAAAAAATAGCATTGCGCACACTCTTCACTATATCCATGTACACTGCTTTTTTCTCATAAATTAGAAAAATTTCACGAAAATGCATGAAAATTTTGTGAATCTTTAAGTCCAGTAAAAAAAACATATATGAAATTACCTGATCGCAAAAAGTATATACCCTTTCCAAAGATGAACATTTCCACGTATAAAATAAATAAAATATCCAAAAACTTTTACCTCTAAATTATCTATTATATTATAAACATCACCAACAAATTTATACCGCAAACATTACAAATGGTTACAAATACTTAGTGTCAAATATTTAAATTACTTCCATGCACGTTTACTTCAACTGAAATGTATACCAAATTCCTACAAACATAAAATTCACAAAATAACTATCATTTAATTAAAATATCACTAAACCATGTACACGTCGACTTACTTTTACTTAAAAAAAATCCCAGAATTGCACAAAAATGGCATTGCGCACACTCTTCACTATATCCATGTACACTGCTTTTTCTCATAAATTAGAAAAATTTCACGAAAATGCATGAAAAATACTCAACGTATTCTACTCAAACGTATTCCAAAATACTACAAACATATAACTCACAAAATCATGATCATTAAATTAAAATATAATTAAATTAAAAAACACTACTTAAAATATAAATAAGCACATACATTAAATTAATAAAAATTAGATTACAATCCTAATTACTTTAAACTAAATCATTGCTAATGATAATTTTCCAATAATATCATATTAATTTATTTACTCCTTACATTTAGAACAATGCATAAAAATAATATCCTCAAATGATTAAAAATACTTACCTGATCTTCAGAATCTTCATTACGTGGCACGCACACTTTCACACAACACACAATGAAGCTTAATATAAAATAATATAGTACTACAGTTTTCCAAATTCCCCCCCTTTTCCAATTAAAGAACTATAATTCGTCCATTAATGTCACATGACATATCTCATGATCTCTCATTTCCCTCACACAAAATAATGTGTAATCGGAACTAAGTACTTCTCACATTATTACCAAAGTCCTAGGTAGTAACCTTTATCGCCTCCAAAATGTCGCCAAACCACCAGTTACCATATTCCAAAGATCAGCCATACCGAGTTTCACTTAAAAAAAATCCCAGAATTGCACAAAAATGGCATTGCGCACTCCCTCGACTTTATCCATGTACGTATCGACCTATTTTCACTTAAAAAACATCAAAGAATTACATAAACTAGGCTGTGCGCATTCCCTTGACTTTGTCCATGTACATATTGAACTATATTGACTTAAAAAGTCAAAGAAGCAGCCAACAAAAAAATATATAATCTCAATAAACTACATTTTAAATCAAACAATGAAATAACATAAAAAAGGAAATTCATCTTTGCATTACACAAAAAGGAAAATATCCACTTACCTTATTTATGAATTAACACGTCTTCAGTCAAACAAAATTCCTTAACAGCATCCAAAAACTAAATTATCTGAACTAGAATCCATATACTGGCATCGCCACATAAATTCACAAAATAAGAGTAAAAAATATTCTCTGTAACGACGTTCGACCATACGCATTTCCTTCCTACAAACAGGACACCTAATAATGGCTACTAAGTAAACCTTCATTTACACACCAGTCAAGTAATGCTCTTTTCCCCTTTCTTTCCAAATCGTACAGAAACTTGAAGTTAATCCTACCACATTCGGCCATTTTACCATCTAAACCACAAAACAAGCAATATACTTCCTAACCAACACAAACACACACCTTAAGCTCTTACGAATTTACTGCAGTCATGCAACCAATAACATCCTAATGGGGATTCCATGCCATTCATCTACTCAGACTACCATAAATGAAACAACAACTTGGCAATAAATGAAACAGCAACTTTGTGATAATGCAAGGGGTACTTTTCTCTCTACTCTAACCCAAATGTGTATTTATGTATACTCTAAATATCCAGTAAGAAATACCATTCAATGTTGAATTATTATGTAGAGTAGGTGTCCCTTAAAGTGATGGCATTTGTTCTCAGCTGTTTTGATAACATTAATATACATGCTAATAATAACTGATGAGAAAAAATACTTTTCAGAACAGCAATAGAATTTAACTACTTTAATATAATTATATCTAAAAACATATAAATGGGAACTTTCACACAGGGCCAGATTAAGATTTATGAGGCCCAAAATGCTTCCTTCACAGACATTTATGCATTCCCCCTCTCCTTCTCATTTCTGTCTCTCTAAATCTTGGCTTAGCTGCATTTTATGTTCCATAGTAAAACTGACAGTGGAATTTTTTTTAACACCTTGTTTGGTGGGAAGTTTAAAAACATTAAATAGCTTTCCCTAAATTTTTACAGACATCTTTCAAATAGTTACCTGGGATCATGAAAGACATGAAATAAATGGTATTTAGATTTTTTTATACACACTAGTAGAATACGAAATAATAAAACTCAGATATTCTTTTTGCCATTTTAACCAAAACTGATTATGAAGTTGCTGAGTCAAATGCCATCTTGACTTTAAGCAATGTGATATTGTTGGAGCTTTTATAGAAAACAATGTTATAGGATCTCCCATTAAAAATGTCCTGAAATAGGAGGTTCTAAATTCTTAAGATTTGAAGAAAGATAAGTTAGTGGTCTGCAATTAAGATATGTGTCAATTTGTATTACTAGATTGGCAAGTTCCTCAAAATTTTAAGTTATTGGAAAATTTAAAATAAATGTTGGTTCACAGACTTGATTCCAGCCTTCCACAATCTTCCAAAATGTGGAGCTATAGGTGGAGTAAAATGTTATGCAAAAAATTATTGAGCTACAAAATTTTGAATTTTAGTAGAATTAAGAGAGTCACTCTCTTTTGGTACATTTATTGTTCTTTCATACAAGTTGCTGTTCCTTAAAAATTAATGGCATTGTCTGAATACAAATTTACTGACTTTTCACATCTTAATGTAAATCGTCTGAAAGTCTAGAAAGACCTCTGTTCATTTACTTATTGAGTACAGCTGGAACAACTTCAAGGTGAATTGCTTTAGTGGCAGGAGCAATATACAATTTAATTCTCACTCTGCTGAAAGTCATGTTAGGTTTTATTATGAATGATCAACAAAAATTAAGTTCAACATTAAGAAATACTCTGCTAGCATTAAATTGACTAGAAGTCTTCCAGGTTGATTATATTGCTTGGATGCAATTTTAATCAAAAGCAAGTCAAACATTTAAATAGAATTCATGAAACTACATCTCTTCCAGAAGATATCCAATGTGTTTGATGGATACAACACAACATTGGTTATGGACCACCATGTAAATGAGTTTTGTGGTAATATTACCACATCTACATAAATAATTAATAATTAAATTAAATGTGCATGCACAAAGAATTTTCCTCCCATTTTTCTGATGTCCTTATGTTTTTTAAACTATATTACTTTGAGTGGTTATATAGTAAAGTATCTTTCTTTAAAAACTCTAATCATTAGAAAAAATAGTCATGGAATAGCCTGTAAATCTTAGGGATGATGATGTTCTTACACATACTATCGGTTTTATTGTACAGTACAAAGTCCGTAATCCGGACTCGTCGAGACTTCGGCGATTCCGGATTAGGGTTTTTTCCGGATTGTAGATTATCAATTTAAATCTGCTAAGATGTCATGCAGAAATTCTACAATTAAAAATATGAAATCATAATTTATGAAATAAAGAACAATTATGATCTAAAGGGTGTCAAAATTTACAAAAAAAAGCTTAATATTTATTTGTTTACTTTATTAAACATTTCTTTTAATGTAAGTTGTTTCAAGATGCTTCCCACAAAAAATTCAAAAAGTTCCTTTTTCTTGTTGTCATATATAGTGGACTTTCCAATGCCTACTTCTTGCACATAATTTTGAGATGGGCTAGGCTTTATCCATTTTTGCAGCAATTCCACTTTTTGTTTAATGGGCATCGAAACATGCTTTCGCTTTGTAGATCCTTTGGCAGCTCCAGAATTGGAAACTCTTTTTGACATAATTGAAAGTTCAAGCTTAATTTTTATAAAATTGTTCTAACAGTCTGCAAAAAATAATAAGTGGATCCAATTAGAAGATTAAGGAACAGTGCAATCTGCAACATTAACTGAAATGCCTTAGATAATTTTAGCCTAGCTTATACCGTTCGTTATACATTAAACATGCATGCGTAAACACATTATGCGCATGTCTAAACGCATTATGCATTTACGCATGCGCATAAAGTTTGTAGCTTTGAGGTCCGGATTATAGATCATTCCGGATTACAGACTTTGTACTGTATGTGTTTTTAAATGAGGCAAAGATTTAAAATAAAAGAAGGTTATTTCTGAATATTTGTAATTCAAGAATTTTGTAGTTATAAGCTAAAAAATTTATATTTTAATTAGTTGAGCTTTTGTTTTCAATGTGATAAGTTCTAAGATTATTATTTTACATTATATTTCATAACTTTTATATATTTCAGAAATATTTAAAGAAGGAACAGAAGAGATTAAAAGAGATAGCTTATTCTACTTAGCAGTAGCTGAAACAAGACAAAAAGTATTATTAATTATCCTCTTTAGCTTTGCTATTTATGTATTAAAATTTACACATTATTTACCCAGTTTAATATTCATCTTACTAGTTTATAATTTAGATAAGTTTGAATTACTAATTATACATTAATAGAAAGTTTGTTTCACTCTGTATAATATGAATTTTTGAGTCAGCTACATGAATCCAAAACAAAATAAAAATAAAATTAAAAACAGTCAAAATTACCTGTCTTCCACAAGCAGTAAATTTTTACAGCCATTAAATGTTGATTATGATATTCTGTAACATTATTTCCAAAACTTTAAAGAACACCAATGGAGAAGTATTATAAATATCCGGATAAAAATCAAATTATTGCTAACTTTAATTTCATCTTTTTACTGTTGACACTTGCAAGTAGAAATTGTGATTGTTTTCATGGATGTTGATGTTCTGATAAAAAGAAAAAAAGATGGGGCTTGGAACAGGTTGCCATCTATGCCATATCATACATGTGATTGCTAAAGCAGAACATTTTTGAAAATGCATAAAAATTAAGAATTAAGTTAGAATGAGTTATTATTTTGTCTTTATAGTTATGACTTTTATTCCAACATACTAATGTTATATACTTTTTCACTTCCTTCTTAAATACTGGAAATGTTCATTTATTTTTAATTTAAACATTTGTTAGTTTATAAATCCATCTGCATTTGTTATTGATGCAGCTACTTGAATTTTTTCATCAGTATCCACTCTAGCATTAAATTCCACACAATTCATGTTAGTCAGAGAAATTATTTTTAGTTCTTCAACTTGCTCTATTTCATCATTTTGTAAACCATTGGCATGCTTAAACTGGTTCTTTATTGCTTTCTCTGAGATGCAATTCCAAGACATGTTCAGCAAATGGTCACCATGTAGAAGGTTAGTTTTATGGATAATTCATTTCCATTTATATTCATAACATCTGTGCTTGAAACATGGAGGTAGGAAATGGAGAAGAGGCCCAAACTGTTCCCCGTACATTGCCTTGAATCAGTGACCAAAACATTCAGTGATTTGCCATCAAAATCAATAGGTTTTGACAAATCAGAGCTAAACATTTTGTAATTACATCATAAATATTATAAATGTACATATTTTCTTTTTCTGCAATATTTCAGAGTCCTAAGTATGTAAAAGAATACATTTTAAAAACACATTTAATTCTCTTTAGTTTCTAATCAACATTTAATTCCGAATGGAATTTAATTCTATTTAATTTCTAATCAGCATTGTTTCTAATTAACATTTAATTCAGAATGGAATTAAATGCTATATTTTTCTGAGAACACTTTTAATATGAATGAAATGTTTTCACAGGTTTAACTAATGACATTAGAAAGAAATTTTAAGGCAATTCAATTTTATTGGGTTACTAAATATTTTCCCTTTTTAACTGTTGCAAATGATATTAGATGTAGGCTGTGTGTATTAAATATTATCTGCAGAATACTAATAATAATAAAGCTTGCCGATATTTTCTAGAGCACAAATTCGGCAATATTCTGTGGATATGGTCTCCATTTAGGAAAAAATTATATTGTTCAATATTTTTATAATAATTTACTTAGGAATGCTTGTCACTTTAATCTGTTAAAATCAGAAACCTTTTTCTAAACTGATATTTTATTTTTAGTTATGTACAGATGCAAATACTTTTTTCCAAAATTTTTATGTTACCTATGAATATGATATTTAATACCAAATTTCCTGGTCAGCTTTTATACGGGAATGAAACTTTTCATATTTTATTTTTTATTATGAGTATAAAATTTTCCTAAGGGACTGCAGAAACATACAAAAGTTAAATTTTATAGTTTGAGTAAAATTTACCTCTTTAAATTAAAAAATGCAAAAACAAGAATCTTTGCACTATTTAAAACACTTTTGTAACTGGAAGTATATGTCTACGACCAACTGTTATGAAAATAAAAGCCAAGTAAGGACTTCATTTGACAAAGTGTATATGGCTTATCTATCACATTCTTTGTTCCTAAACATTGCAAAATCATTTTGTGTCTTCCTAATTCACAGAATCGTAGATTTTTAATTATTTATTTGAAGAATTATTCATGTACTTTGTTTTTCTTACAGAATTATTGCACAGCAAAAAAATACATACAAGCTTTTCTGAGAGTGGAACCTACTAATATTCAAGCTCAACAACTAAATCTTTATATTGATAAGCATCTGAAAAAAGGTACATATTATATTTCTAACTGTGGCATGCTATCATTTTTAAGAAAGGAGACTAGGTATGATGAAAAATTGTAAGCCTTTCTAAAATAATCATTCATGGTTCCAGGTGAGTGTGGTCTTCAGTGGGAGTGTCATCTTAGAAAGATGAAATTCAGCATTAGTATTCATTTGTGATCTCAGAAATACTGCTCATTTCCAGAAATTCTGGTACAGTACAAAGTCCGTAATCTGGACTCGTCGGGACTTCGACGATTCCGGATTAGGGGTTTTTCCGGATTATAGATCATCAATTTAAATCTGGTAAGATGGCATGCATAAATTATACAATTAAAAGTAGAACCGTAATTTATGAAAAAAAGAGCAATTATGATCTAAAGGGTATCAAATTTTACAAAAAATATTTATTTATTTACTTTATTAAACATTTCTTTCAGCGCACGCATGCGTAGAGCATACATTACGTGTGTGCATTCTTTACATGCATGCGTAAAGCATACAAAAAAAAAAGTTTGTGGCCTTTGAGGTCCGTATTATAGATCATTCCGGATTAAGGACTTTGTTCTGTATTGTGGAGGTGACTGCCATAAGGGAGTTTATTGCATTTTAAATATGAAGATTAGAGCTGTGCAATAATCCATAATATGCTGTAATAAAGGGGTGAAACCTAGATTAAGAGGGGAAATTAGAGTTATTGCGTTTTTAATTTGATGTAACCATAAAAATAATAATTAAAAATTATCTATGTCAATAAGAACAAATTACTTCTTAGTTTGCATATAATTAATCATTTTAAATTGTGTAATATTGCATTTTGAAATTCTGGTATAGTGTTTCATTTTTGTACAAATCAGAATACATGGAGTGAGTCTTCCTTTCATGATTATTTCTCACTTCTTTTGAAAATATAATATCCCAAAATATATAGTAGACAGATGATCAAAGCCATAGGATTGTGATATTGACAGGTCAGCATGTTATCATGAAGCGGTTTTAGAGCTTGCTTGCACATATTCTGCTGTAATCGTTTGTGTAGAGAATTACTCGTATGTTTTTACCACATCCCTTTTTATTCATTGAATGGGGAATAACCACATTTGTCTTTTACTCTGAATTTTACCATGAATCACTAGAATGCTTTCATGGACATAAATTAAAATATAACTCTAGAAATTAATTTCACTTATAAGAATTATGAGAAAGTATAATTTCTTTGACCTATCACCAGTAGTTAACAAATGTCTGAAGTGACCATTGAAACAGGTGAGAACTAGCCTAGTCCTCCATTGCATAGAGTTGATGCAATCTGTATACATCAGTTTTCAGTGAAAATTCAACTACAGTTAAATGACACACATTTTTACAGGATTCATACGATCCTTAAGAGTCCTTAAAAGTCCTTAGATTTTTTGGAATTGATTTTTGGTCCTTAAAAGTCCTTAATTTTGGTCAAACTCGGCAGAAGGTCCTTAATTTTAATCATCTGAAATTTCTGTCTGGTTTTACGACTGCCATTTTGAGTGTGAATTAGCATTTTGGAGGAATACTTTTGGCAATTTACTGACATATATGATTATCTTTTGAATGGGTTCATGGGTTATAATTTGTTTCTATTTCTAATATAAATGATAGGATACTCGAGTTTTTAAGCAAGAAATGAAACATAAGCATTTCAAAATTAGTTTAATAAAGAGCTTTTAAACGTTGTTAACTTTTCACTTTTGGGGATGTGAATTCTTTTACTAAACGGTTCTAAATTTGGCGACTTATCAACATTTTGGCGATTTTGAGATCAGTTTCAATAGAACATTTTTAATTCCGAGATCTGAGAAATTTTCAATGTTTTTTTTAGAACATTATAACATTGATAAATATTAATGTATTGTAATTATTTTTAAGAAATAACATTAAAGTAAAGCATTTTTATTTTTCGCTGCCATATTATAAATTCCATTTTGGCCACTTATACAATATCTTGAATCTGAAAAAATAAACAAGGTATAATGTTATAAAGCACAATTTACAAAACATTTCTTAGCAAAAGCAAAATAGCTATGCAATTAATTAAAAATATTTTTTTTTTTAATTTTTTTATGGTAAGAGTTTTCCCACGTTATTGTCTCATATGCATCAGTTTTCTCTGAAATTAATTTTACATTTTCAACCCCTGATTTTTTTTCTCAAAACATTTCTGGCTTTTTGCTGTTATAGAATTCGTAGGAGTAATTTTTCTTTAGGATTTTAGACATTGCAGCTTGGAAGGTTTAGTAGAAAGCAAGATTTATAGACCCACGATTCTAGAAGATTCGAGAAATATGTGACAAAATTTGAAATGTCTCCATGGTATCAACACGTAATGGATGCATTTTACAGAAAGTTTGCAGTGAATTTCTTACTTTTTGGAGAACATCTGGAAGAATAATGAAAACATATTTGAATGTTTTACTTCTGATACTAGAATCATTTAACATGTTTATCTTCCCTTTGTTTTCTCTACTTTTCACTAGACTCAAGCATGAAAAATATTAAAAATGCTTCTAATCTTAGCACATGGGCAGGCGTTTTAAAAAGGGATTTTTTTATTAATAAAGAAATTGAAAACTTACAATTTAAAAGATTCATCTAATATGTCCTAATGCATCATACATATAGCTGGCATTAGGCATTTTCCCACCTGATGCAATCTCTGTGGATCCTAAATTCTGCTGCCTAGTGTCTTTCTAAATTCTGCTTCCAATGCCTCCTCTAAATTCTAAAAGTTCTGCCATGTCTAGATTTTGTTGTTTGGTGTGCCACTAAATTCTAAAAATTCTGCCACATCAGCTCTGTAATCGGCCTTTACCGTATATATTTCATATTTCTTCTAAATGTTCATATTACTAAAGAAATAAAATTAGCCACTTTTTCTATACATTCTAAATGCATTTAGTGCTTTTTAGAATAACAGAAATCCTTAATTAAATCCAAAACTTCTAAAATGAAAAGGAAACATGTTGAAAAAAGAAACAGTGTACATAAAATTATTTTTCAAAGATATGTGCAGTTATTATTATTATGTAAATTACCCAATTGTTTATGATCTCAGCCTTTACTATATTTTCCCATTTCTGTTTCCTTATATGATGAGAGTTACTGAGCCAGATTAAATTAAATTGTATAGTCTTTGACCACTACTCCACATTATTAGTTTGAATTTGACTGTTCTTGTTTAATTACCTCACCATGAGCTGTACTTGATTTTGTTAGCTGTACTTGATTTTGTTTGAATGTGCCTTTATGTTCTAAGTTCTTTTTAAATAAGCCTCTTATTTAAACCATTGTCTGATATTGTAGTTACTTTCAGACATAGCGATAATATGCTTCAAGTCTGTCGGAAGTTTTGGACTATTTAACTTTTAGCAGATAAAGTAAATCCTCGTAGGTACATTATGGAGAGGTTGACAAGTTATTAGGAGATAAAGCATGCAGAAACTAGCGAGGACTGTGGTTTGCATATTAAGACAAATCTCTGATTGTTAGAATTGATGTAAATTAGCCAAAATGTTTGGGAAGGCTTAAATTAAAACGACGGATAAATATTTTGTTGAGTGTTTTTGTTACAAAACATAAATGTTTTTAATGTGTAATAATCCTAATATCATTTAAGAATCAATGCCAAAAATTACATATATTTTAAACTATAAAATTTTATTAAATTTTGATTTTAATAGGGCTTTTTTAATAAATTTTGTTAAAAAATAAAATTTAATAGTAGTCATGTAAATCCATAATGACTAAGGATATCAAACTACCTAATTTAATCATTTATAACTAACTGCTTACCCTTAAAAATTATCTCTACACATTAAAGCGAGTTATTGCCTTTCATTAATACCCACTGTGGTCACAAGATAAAATACAAAAATGTAAAAATTCGAGTAAAACTTATTCTTTGCATCTAGTGAGACTTAAAATAATACAAAATAACTTATCACCTCTGGTGCTTTAATGGCTTATCGGAACCTTAAAGTATATTAACTGGGTTATAATCCCTGGAACTCTACACGAACCTGTGACACTAACTGCATTAAACAGAGCCTGGCTAACTTTCAACACTTGCCAACTGAACTGGGTCTACATCAAGCCTTTCAGGTTTGTTCTAATCAGCAGATTTCTCTCTCTAAACAAGCAGCAGCGGTGACAACTTTCAGTCTTTTGTTAGGAATCATGCTGATTATGATCTTACTTCTCATTTTAACCTATGCCATTTGACATAAAATCTACCTGCTATTTACTAAACCTCTAGACCGTGACCAATAAAGTATGTGACAATAAGTAATGTGATGAGACATTAAAAAAAATTCAACAAAAAAGTAAATAAATAAATAAAAATCAACATGAAAGCTGTTAGTAAAACGTAAATGTCACTTCTTTCAAATATGTCCAACTATTTATTATAAGTGTAAAATATTTAATGCTACTTGATATAAATTGCTTAACGTTTATTTTATTTTCAAACTTGTTAATAATTATGTTAATTCATGTTTAGTAATAATGCACACTACTTAGAGATCTATTTTATTTTTAGGATGGTATTACAAATATGAAATGCAGGCATCGATAGTATTTTTAATTGAATTTATTCAGTTTGCATTTGCTCATGGGTCCTTAATTTTTTTCATTAATGGTCATTAAAAGTCCTTAAAAGTACTTAATTTCCTTGTGCAGAAATGTGTACGAACTGTGTTTTAAAAAAGTAAATTGTATTACTTTTAATGCTTTTGGGTATTAAGTAAAAATTTACTTATAAGTGTGTTATTACTAAAGTTAGGGAATTAAGGTAACACATATGTTAGGGGATTAGTCTAATAGTAACACACTATTGACTTATAAAAAAAAGGGAATTCTAGATAACAGTCATAGGATGTAATTGTTAGTTGTTCTGCTTAAATACACCTTTTTTATAGTTTTGATCTTTGTAACTTGAATAAAAAAGATATGTGAATGAACAGATACATAATTAGGTTCTAATATTAACATGTTAATATAATACATGTAATTGCTTAAAATATTACTGAAATTTATTTCTACTTTTAACTACAAAAATGTTTTAACTGTAAAAATTTCATATACTAATTTACCTGAAAAAGTATCATTCAAAGTGGCTCTATTCGAAATAGTTCAGGTAAACCAGTTTTAGTGAAATGTGTTTCTGTTTAATACTATCTCAGAAAGCTTAAAAGCACAGCAATCAAAATATTTTGTCTATTAAATAAGATGGTGACTTTACTCAGAAATAAATAAATAGATATTAAAATCAAGTGGTATTTCTAATTATTTTATATAAAATACATATTTATGTTTTGAATTATTTATTTTATGCAATGTGTGTATTTAAAAGACATTTTTATATTATTGATTTTTAAGTTGGAATGAATTTTTTGGGATAAATTTAATTGCATTTTTGGAATGTTTAAATTTTTTCAGCAATTCTGCCTAATGCATCATTTTAAATAAATTACAGCACTGCATAGACAGTTTATCCAGGTTAAATTAAAATAAATTTTAATTTATAATTCATCTGATAAAAGCTAAGTGCTTATATTATAAACTGGTGTATGGTCTTTTTTTTTTTTTTTTTTTTTTTTTTTTTTTTTTTTTTTTTTTTTTCCGTGTAATCACATGGGTTTTGATTATCTTATATTAGAAATTTCATACTGCATTTGATAAAACAATAAAACTATTTGGTACTTTTCTGTTGAAGCCATATTGTGTTTTTTTTTTGGGGGGGATGCATATTTCTTCATCTCCACATATTGGCAATTTAATTTTCCTTCTTTCTTGGCAGTAATTGCCTTCAGTAATCTTCAGCCATACATTCCTGTGTTTCATCTTTAATATATACATATATATATATATAATACTGTATACTCAGTTAGCACTAAAAAAAAAAACAATTTCTTATAAATCAAAATTTTGCTTATTTTTTCTGTTTTTTGACTGTGAGGTTTTCTTTTTTTTTTTTTTTTACCCCATTGTAATGAATTTTATGACTTGGAATTAGCCAAGAGATCAAAAAAGCAGAAATTATGTTTCTTCTAGAAAGAGTTATTCTTCATGAGGAAAGACAGACAGTATTTAAATAATTACCCTCATGAAATTAAAATACAACTTGCAGCTGAAATGGCTATGCAACTTTTATTCCTGGTGAAAATACAAAGGTGTTGAAACACAAAAAGAGTTTGTTGGATCACGCATTCTTTTCATTACTGCCATTTCATTAAGGTACAGTATCAGGATTTAAACAACTATTGAGTTATGTAAATCAAAACTTTCCTCAATTGAATCACCATACATGAACATAACAGTTGATTGGAATAGTTATATGGGAGAGGTATGTGCCAATAATCTTGTCTTAATTTTATAATCAGTGTATGCTACAAAATTGTGGAAATTAATGAAAGCTTATTTCCAAAAGAAAAAAATAGCATAAGGCAACTGTCAAATGGGCTTTTTGAAGTAACGTAATGTTTCATTGCAAAACATTGTATGATATGGTGTTTTATTATTAAGTAAATATATTGTTTGTATTTTTAATGATATTCTTTTGATTTCTTTTTAAGGCTATCATTATATAATAAATTCCTGTTAATTATATCACATCATAAATACCATATCATATGTTTTTATATGCAGATGGTCTTACAGGCATGGCATTGTTTGGAGCTGCTACATTATTTGGTGGAGCAACTGCAATTGTTTTAGGCACAGTGGCTGTTGGTGCTGCCCTTGGCTTTGCTTTAGTCAATAAAAAGAACACATAAAGGAAATACCAGCATGGCTGTTAAAGAGTATTATGGACTAAAAACAATGACTGTGACATAAATTTGTATTATAAATGAAATTAATGTATTTTATTAAATTTGTCATATAAACATTAGTATTCAGAGGTGTTATTAAAGGAAAGATAGGAAATTAAGTTCTTGTAACTTTTTGCAAAATAATTTCTTACATGGAACCTTTCTATAAATGTCATATTCTATGAAAATATTTTTTTAAAAAATATTTTCCCTCAAACCTTATTGTAGTGAACCTAGTTTATAATGAACAAAGATTTTGGTTCCTTTCTGTTACCTCATTTAATGTTATTTTATCCAGCAATATACAGCAAACTTTCAGATGTATGAAAAGCGAATGTATGGACTATATTAATATCTCCAACTGAAACATTTTTATGTTTTTTGTAATTTTTTTTTTCAAATTTCTGCAAATTTTAATTAAAAACTTTCTAACCTTTAAAATCATCCATGTTTAGGATGTTAAGAATCCATCCATGTTAGAATAATGGAAAACATCTTTAAGCCTCTTTTTTATCCCTATTTTTTTCTGTGTGAAGCAGGTGTAACACCTAGTTTATGGAGAACCAGGCCACCTAATAAGTATATCTTAGGGCATTGTATGACATATATTACCACTGAGTCAGAGAACTTGAATAAATTCTCTGATTCCATTCAATATATGGAGTCCTGCTTTAGGCTAATCTGTGATGGAAATTTTGGATATTCAAAAAAAAAAAAAAAAAAGGAATTGAATCTTATGAAACAGGGGCTATGTAGATAATTTGTTTTTTAGAGGATGGAAATCTTTTATCCTTATTGGATTGTTCTCTTAATGTTTAAAATGCTGTTGAAGTCTTCTTACTGTACGATTTTACATTCTTTAGATCTTATATAAGATTTAGGGTATTCTTTAGTAGAGCTATTGCACTTTTGCTTTGCAGCCATACCTATCTTGGTACAAATGAATGTATTCTCCCCAGAATTAGACAGGGCAGGTTTTTCATATTTTTCACAAAGGTAAAACTTCACTTTACATAACTGTTTTATTGAGGAAATTTTCTATGTAAAAAATTCATCCATATGCCAAGCTGTACTGGGAGTAAGGTGAGAATTATTTGAAAAATTCAGAATGCATGTAGCCAAATTGGCATCTGTCAGGAATACAGTTTATCTAAATCTGCAGTTGGTGTGATGTAGAAAAATCAAGGCTTGATAAGTTCTACTAACAGAAATAAATAAATAAATAAATAAACATTTTAAAAAAGCTAAGTTAATAAGATGTTGAAGATGAATTGTTGAATTTGTTCATCATTCAAAGATGCTACAGTTTGCTATTATCTGGATAAATTATTATCATGAATGTATAGTTAATTAGTACTTAATTAGTGCAAAAAGAAGATGTGCCATTGGAGAAATGTTAAAAATTTTAGAGTTACTTAGTATATTACTATAACTTTTGTACTAATTAAGTGTAAAATTTTTATTTTTAGTGTATTTGGAACTGAAAACAACAAAAAAAAAAAAAAAAAAAAAAAAAAAGGAATTTAGTAGTTGCATGCAATAATAGTAATTGCATTTAACCTTTAATTATAATTTTTAAATTCCAGTTAGTAACTTCTTGTGGGAGACAGGGGAATGCAAATCAGTCTTCTGCACCAATTTATCGATAATTTTTTACATTATTTTGTGAGATGATGTTTTTTTTTTTCATACCAGATTGGATGTAGAGAACCAAACTTGCAGTCTCTTAAAGTTTATTACAGTACAGTTCAACTTTATATTCTTTTGATAGCATTTTTTTGGCTGTTTTCAGGTTTGTGCTTGAATTTATTTATTTATGTAGTTAATTTTTCTTGATATCCTTTATAGTATAATTTATATTTGATTGATTAAAATAGAATTCTCCTTTCTCTGATATGAAAAAAACATTTATGCATTGGGAAAATATTCAAATGATTATTTATATTCCTTGGTTACAGATGTATGACCACATGAAGGAAATTTTAAATGTTTTAAAAAGAACTCATTGTTCATATTCATCTTGTATTCTTTGTAGTTCTTTTAGCATCTTTGAATAATATCAGCCAGTTTAAAGATTCTTGAAAGGTACTATTTTTACATGGCGTAGTTAAACTTCAGTTTTTTAAATGATGATGCAAAAGAAGTACTGGAGAGAACAGATTAAGCTTTAGAAGATTGTTTTGGTTTGGTTTATTAGATTATGGCAAAGCACTCGAGGGCTATCTGCCTTAAGGGAGGGATGCCTTCGTGGAGGACTTTCTAAGGGAAACTGGCTTGTATACACATTACACATGGGGAAAACCACAAAAACGCCCATGCAGCCAGCCTGTTCGCGGGATTCGAACCTCGGACCAAGCTACCAGTGTACAGCGACGTTACCGCTCGGCTGCTGGTGGGTTCTAAGCTTTAGAAGAGGATAAGGATATTTTCCTAAAAGTCATATACTAAAAAATGGGTAAAAATTATTTTGTAGAATATCAGATTTTCATTGTTTAAGGAAAGTGATCTTGAAAGAGAGATTAGCAATGAATTTTTATCCTGATATTTCCTCTGTTAAGGCTCTTAAATTAAGTGTATTCCTCTGTTAAGGCTCTTAAATTATGTTAATATAATAAAACTTTGGATTGTGAGTAATTTGATATGCGAGTGTTTTGCAAGATGAGCAGAAATTTTTCAATAAATTTTCTACTGAATAAAAAAGTGGTAAACATGAATAAAATTTCTAATACTTGTGCAAACTTTTTTTCCCATTTTTTTACTGGTATTAACATAATTTTTAACTTACAAAGTGGTAATCATATATGCTTTCTTTCCTCCCTTTTCTTTTATGATATGAAATACTCCTTCTATATGAACAAGCAGTTTAAATTTCTAAATTATGATGTTGTGATATACTTTTTCCCAGTGATAATGATGATACATACATTTACTTATATCCTTTTCCTTCACAGAGAAAATGGATGGTACATATTTTATTTTTATCTTGTTTTCCATCGTATATAATTAACCTTTTTACTAATTAATGGTGATTTGTGGATATTACTTTTCTTTTACCACAATTTGTGAGTCTGTTTTAATGTAAATTAATGTGAATAAAATCTTCAAAAGTGAATATATATATATCTATATATATATATAATAAAACAAATAATGCTCCTTCCTTGTGAATGGTTGCTTTTATAGATATTTTCTTGTTGGCTGATGAAACCTATGTAAAATATGCAGATATATTAAACATAGGTTATCATTACAAATCGTAAGATTAACTTGCACATGAGAACTATGTATGTAAGAAAGAGGGGTCTTTTGGTTATGAATAAGGCTCTTGTTCATCCTCTAGGCCTTCAGGACGATTTACGGAATGAATTCAAGCTCATTAAGGTTAAATTTCTTTGTTCCAGCACAACTCCACTACTCCAACCCATGAATTAGCAAGTCAGTTCAAACTTTAAAAAGCTGTGTGCCAAGATATTGTTTCAACAATGCTTCAAGATAATCAAATGGACAAGTCTCACCCTTCAAGTTTTTAACAACGTCATTTCCACATCATTAACAGTTTCAGGATCATCTATAAAGCTTGGAATCGAATTCATTAAAACCTTCAAATCTACTAGGAAAAAAACTTTCTTCATGAACAGTAGCTGCCAGTTGTCAATGAAAATGTGCCTATGGGGAAGGTGATGGGACTGGATATGAATCAGGATGACATTCAAGAGCTAATGGAGGAACACGACCAGAATCTGACCGCTGATAAACAGATGTAACTGCATCGGTAACAATAACAAGATGCTACGGATGAGGTCTCATCTGAGGATAAGATGAAAACAACGGAGAAATCCCTGATTTCAGATAAGGTTAGAAAGATGTATAAAATGCTTCAAAGAGCTCGAAATTAATAGAAAAGCGTTATCTGAATAAAACTGTAGCATAATAATGAATCAGTTTTAATGGCAATACAGTGTCGCACTTCTGCTAGATCCTCAAAAGAAAGCAAAAGCCACTGCAGTTGGGTAAGTTCCTTATAAACTTGCATAAAGAGGAAAGGAACATATTTCAGTTTCAGCATTTTCAATGACCTGAACGATTCATATAGTTAGCGACCTCTAATAAATTAAACACATTAATAATTCAATGCAAAATGATTTTTTATTTATTTGTTGCCTGTGAGAGCAGCTTTTCCAAAACTGACCCCCTTTGAGGCTCCTTATGTCTATGAAAAGTTTAATAGTTATTAGATTAATTAATGGAATTATTTTCATTTGTATTCATATTTATTTCCATATTTAAAAAGAACGCTTCAGTGGTACCATCTGTGAAATACCTAACTAAAAGCGATATATCGCATACTACGTGAATAACACATTGTTACGATTTTCTTACGTACGGGTTCATGGATTTGGAGTGCTGAACGACAACGTGAAGAATGGAGAGAATTTATTAGCCAGTATTTACTCAGGACAGCTCCAAAAAATACGTGTACAGTCGTCGAAATGGCAAATACGCTGAAACAATCAGCAGCACAGCTATCAGGCTAAAACGGTGAAGACAGCTTCATGGCAAAGCACCAGAGTACAGATCCTGACTCCAGTCGTTCTCGGAACTTTATGTACTCTCTTCGCTACAGCTCGTGAAGCACTAGACGATGCACCAGCTCGCGATACAGCCGACGACCAACTCGAGACTAGACTGACGATCAGCTCGATGGACTAGGCACTGACTGACTGACTGATGATTATTTTTGCCGGAATACCATCCACTTGCATTCAGGGTTTATATAGCTTTTGGGCTGCTTTCGAGAACATTCTGGGCCAAACCGGTAAGAATTCGTTTCAGAAGGCTCTCTATCCGTCTATCGTCAAATATGGCAACCCTGCCTTCCCTTGCCATTTTCTGGCAACCCTAAACCCACTTTGAGAGGAAGCTATCTTACCGCGGCTGGGCATTTCGTAACAGTATTTTTGGAAAATGCGAAAAGTCATAATATGAGTTTATGTTATTTCTTGTTCATTCTGATACGCAAATGTTTTGGAATATAAGCACGATTCTGGAACGAATTATGGTTATAAACCAAAGCACCACTATATTATTTTGTTACTGAAGGTTCTCTTTCAGCATGCATTTAAAATATGAATTTATGAGCAAATTGAAATTTAAGACAAGTTTCTACAATTTTGTAACAATGTATGTTTTTCCAATCTACTGATGTAATCTCCCCTCGCCCCTTCTGTTCTCGAAATGCTGTCTGTAGTATTTCATAGCATAAAATATATTTTCGTTTATAATTATTTGGTTGGGCTTACTTTTAGCAAAGCTTTCTAACAGAAATTGACTTGTACTTAGAGAGTACATGTTAGGAGGAAAGAGTTAACAAAAAAAGCCACTTGCAACTAACCACTTCATTAAATTAAATTCACACGGATATAACACATTTTTTAGCAATATAAATAATCTTGTGTCTTAATGCAGAGGCTACGTGTTCAGACTGTATAAAATTTTACATTAGGAATATCTAAAGAGTACTAAAATTATCTTTTTAAATTTTAGGTTAACAAAATTCAAGTGCAGTTATATTTTATGCAAATAGCTTTTTTATGAATTATACATGCGTAGACTGGACTGGGTCATGGTATTAATGATCAGATTTTAAAGGGACAGAGGTATAAGCATCTTTTACTCACTTAAAGTATAAAAGTTTATTTTAGACGGGAGGTTGCGTTTACATTAATGCTAATGAGCTGGTAAGCAGAATCCCGGGAGGGAGTAGAAGAATCAAAATTAGTGGTAATTGAAATGTATACATAGTGTATAATTGAGTGGAGATGTGACTTCCAACTAAAAGTGGGAGAAGCACGAAGAATTACTGAAAAAAATATGTGTGAGAATGATGGAATGTATTTGCGGCAAAAGAGTGGTGTTAGCTAGGTATACATATTTTTCTGTGGAAAATGGCGCTTTTGAATAGCAATGAATGAGTTTTGATGATGTTTGACAGAAAGATAAAATTTGATTGCATTCTTCCTAATCTAATCATTTACGTATTCAATTTTGAAGTCTTTATATAGTTTATTTTGAAGTCTTTATATATTTTGAAGACTTTTATAATTATTTTTATAGTTCTTAGTGTTCCAGGGAGCGTTTGTAATTTGTCGAAGGATCTTGTTCAAAATGATTTGTGATTTATACATGCCTAAGATGGATTTTAAGTATATTTCTGAGAAATTTGCATTCACCTTGTGTCTGCACAGTGTTGAAGAGGATGAAATGTGCAAGACTTGGTAATCCCGCTGAAGAATACAAAACTGTGTATCATCCTGATGTGGCCATTCTGTTGTGTCATCGTAGGTATCGTCCTTGTAACCTGGCCCTGTAGCCGTGGTTCTCTCCAGCAGTATGGCGCTGTGAAGTGATGAATGGAATCCCTACATGGAATACATGTGTCGAAGCCAAGAACGGGACTTGGACAGAGTTTGAGATTGAAGTCTTGGATAGTGTCTATTATGAAGTAATGCATCGACTCGTAGTCAAGTGACGAGCTAATGAAATGCGAAGTAGACCCGATTGATATGACGCAGCAGTTAGCATTGCCTTCACCTATTATCCATATTATGCTTTGATTATATATCATAGGTTGACATACACCCTGTTCATCTCTTCTATTAAGTTCAAAGAAACTACCGATTAAAACTCTTTATTTCACTTACATCCCGTTTTCTCCTTTGGTGGGCTACCACGTTTCGTACATATATAAGGTTTGTTGCTACATTTTCGAACATTTTAGGTAAAGTTAGAAATGAATACTAGAAGTAAATTTTCTTTTATAATTTTAGGTTAATAAAATTTAAATACGGTTATACAGTTATTTAAATACTGTGCATGAACAGCTCTTTTATGAAATATACATGCTAGGATTAATTTTAAAGATGTAAAGCCTGTTGCTACATTTTCGAACATTTTATATAAAATTATAAATGAAAGTAAATAGAAATAAATTCCAAGTCCTTTTTTGTAGATTACGTTACCCGTAAGTAAAAAAATTCTTGCCCCCATCTTAAAAGCTTCAATTTTAACAAAACTTTGAATAGAACTTGAAGTGTTTAATTTGTAATCATATCATTCTTAAGTTTTTTTTTTTTTTTAATCAGAGATGCTCGTATTCTCGAAACTCACTTTTTATTCATATCACTTTTGTGTTCGAATCATTTTTTAAATGATGCGGCTAGTTTTTAAAGAAATATTATTTAGCGAATATATATATATAAAGAAAGTGTATGACAACTCGTAACAGTATATCAGGAATTCTTAAGATATGTTACTTTTAAATCATTTGAGATTTTGCTATTGAATTTTACGTGGCGTAAGTGCGAAGAGCGTGATATTTTAGTAAATAAAGTTAATAATAAAAAGAAAAAAATTGTGAGTCATCTTACTAAGAAAACTGAACATCGATATGATGAACTGAGAAAAAAACTGGGGGGGAGTGAATAGAAACAATTTAACATTTAACATTGTATTTAACAATTTAACATTGTATCCGGAAATCTGAACATATGCTGCTACGCTGCTTCTAAACATTTTATAATTTTACTGTTGAATTGTGTATGCTTAAATGAGAAGAAAGCGAAAAAGACTCTTACTAGGAGTGAGTCTAAGAGCAGATTGGGTAACCTGTAAAACTCAGCCAGAGCATAAAAAACGTTTGCCCACCCTGTGATGCGACGTTAAAATCTGAATACTTTCATATTTTTTTATTCTTTCTTTCTTTTTTTTTAAATAAAGTATTTTATTTGGATTGAAATTATTTTTCGCAAATTAAAAAATATTCCAGAACAGCTGTTCTGCATAAATACACATGAAAAAGCAAAAATATTTTAGAACAGCTGTTTTCCATAATTACACAAGTGAAAATCAAGAAGCTTTTCCTCATTTTTTCATAAACTTTAAATCAAACAAGCCTAGTATAAGATATATCAGTTCTGTATTATAAAAATATTCCTGGATATGGGTGTAAATGACGACAGACTTGCAATCAGAGCCAGACATCTCTACATATAATAAAAGAAAGAGTCTGTGTATCTTTCATTCGTGCTGCGCGTAAGCTAATAGACCCAGGGCTACGAAATTTGGTATATAGATGAATTTAGACAAGAGCCAGTGCACTTCGAAGCGATTTTTTCAAAATTCGAATCAGATTTTATTTTATCTTTTCGATTTTATCGTATCATTTTGAATAGTTTCATTCTTTTAGAAATGTGATTTTGGCAACAGTTTTTCATTCTATTGTATTCTGGACTGTTGAAGATCAGCAACATTGCCACTTGCAAAAATGAGAGTGATAATTCTGTGCAGTTTTTAAATTTAATATTTCTCTTGGAGTTGCAGAACAACGTTTGTCTCAACGTTTGTTGAGAGAAAGCAACGGGAAGTTGGTTAATTTATTTATTAGGATAATTAATATTTTTATTAAGGGATATTGCTTAGTTCATTGTAATTTTGTTATATGTAATAATTTTTTTTATAATTTGTGGTATTTTTTTTTTTTTTTTTTTTTTTTTTTTTTTTTTGAAGTTGTTCTGCAGAGTAAAATTCTGCGCAGTTTTTAAATTTAACGTTTGGTGTTCCCTTCAGGCATTTTCCGGTACATTTAAAAGCCAGACGAAGGCTGGCATTGTAGTTGCTAGTATTACGTAAAAACATGTTGCGTAAAATCTGGTATTTGTTTACAAATAGCAGCTAAAAACAATTAGTGACGCATTGGGAACTATCTCCGTATAGATTTCTAATTTGCCAAGGTAACCGACATGTACTCGTCGACCTCGTGTAGGCTGTTCTAATTTATAAAGCCTTATGCGCGTAGTTAACTTATTTATGCATCAAGTTATAATTTTAACCGTTTCAAGGTATTATTTTATCGTAACAGAATTTTCACGTAAACTGTTTGTATGAAAGGGAAATATAATCATCACAGAAAGTTGTTGCAAACCATTTTGCATTGCCTAACAAACACCTATGTCCATTACAGAAAAATGCTGTGAAAATTATCTGTATAATCACAATGTTATAAATATGAAGTTTATTTAGAACAGTAAAGTCGAATCCTTAAATGCGATTATTAATATTATTTTCGATATAAATCTGTTTTTTAATTTTCATAAAAATTTATCTCCAAAAACAGAAAAAAATTCAGTTCTTTAAAATTTACTTTCTATCGTTGATTTGCCTTAAACGCAATTTCCTTTAAGAAATGTGTATTTTTTAATTGATTTTATGTAAAATATAAATTTACTAATATTCTCAGCCTGTCTATGTAAGTAATTAAAGATTCTAAAAATTAATTTTTTACTCTAGAATACTTCGGATTACGAACAATTCCTATAAAAAGTATGCTCCCAGAGTTGTTCTCTCGAATAAAAAATACAAATGGACGATTAACAATAAAATCCAAAATTCTTGTTGGTCTGGTACTTCTTGAAACAGCCGTAGCTGTCCCCGCTGTTGCTTCAGTTCCATATTCGTCGACTGCCACGTGCGCTTTATGATAAATAGCATCCACCTGCAATGTTCTATTTTTAGTAAATCCTGTAAGATTAACTGTGCCCGTCACTAAATCTCTAAAGCCCAGTTTTGAAAGCGTCGATGACAGCTGAAAACTGTCTTCCAGCTGAAACTTTGGCATGACAACGACGACTTCATGAGGAAACATATCATCTGTTAAAGCTTGTAGTCTTCCTGCAGTCATTGAATTGCTCAGAATTTGGACGCCATGAGCTTTATTTTTTGGAAGCATTATCACCATTGTCAAAGATCTACCAACATAGGGTAGTTCTACGGCTGTACATTGCAGTTCGTCACTTGATGCGTACAGGAAAGTGTCTCGTGTCACCATCATATCCACCATCACATATCCTATGTTTGAAATGAAGAATGGCTTTGGCTGTGTTGCTAAAGGGTAGAAAGGTGTTCTCCAAGGTCCTTTGAAATGCATTGTGCTTGTCACTATGAACTCTGTAAAACTTCTGATGCTGTAAGGTGGAAGAAGCTCTTTAATTTTACCCATAGTTTGCTTTTGGATTAGAAAATTGATGGCGACACGAGCCAACTCTGGATTTTGCTGGAAATCAACATAAGCCAAATCATCATCTATGAATTGCAATAGACAAGTCCGAATCGTTATGTCTTTTTGAAAAAATAAATTATTATCCATACTAAATGATGATGATGAAGATGTTCTGATTCTGGATGTAAACCACAGTTTTAGCGATTGATAGCTATGAGCTACGATATTTTTGTCCATGCCATGAAATCCTAAAATTCCTTCCAGTTCCTTTTCGGTGGAGCCTTTAGAACCAAGATACACTAATATTAAAGATGACCAAACACTGAAAGGGCTAAAAAATGTGTCTCTTGTGTTGTTTAAAGCATGCAGCATGCGGATGCTAAATCGATTCGAGGCCTCAAAGAAATCTTCCATTCCAGAGAGTAGTCTATGCTTCGTCGGCACATAATCCACATCTTCGAAACACTGTCCAAATACACATACTAAGCATCCAATCAGCAGCAGAATAATCTGAAAAGGTAAAGGCTTACGTTTATTTAAAAATAATTTTGTATTTTTTCAGTAGTAATTTACTGATAATAATAGTCTTTGTACGTAAATAATTGCAATAATATTATAATGAAACAATGTAAATTAATGTATTCGAGTCAATAACTTTTTTAGCGTAGTTAGTTTAAGCGCCTGTTTAATGAATAGGAGATTCCGAGTTCGAATCTTGTCTGCTTGTTTCTTATGACAGGGTTTCCCGCCTTTCTCCTAGCCCACGAATGGCCGAGCGGTAAAATCAGTGAGTACTGGTAATTTGACCTGGATTCAAATCCTAATGAGAGGGCTGGAAGTACGGAAGTCACACTGTGTAATATAAATATGATCCAGGTTCTCTTAAAAGTCCTCCACGAAGATACCGTTTCCCTTATGCAATTAGCCTTATGCTATCAGTAACATGATTCTCCATTCGTGAAAATTTTTCTCGTTATGCAAAAGTTAAAAAACCTGAATTTTTAAAGAGTTTTCAATGCATTATAAAGCATTTTGCACAGAAATGTATAAAAGTGCGATTTCTTGCTCTAAAAAATTTACAAAGAGAATCCAATAAGGCCTAAGCCTAAGTAAGATATAATATTACTTGTTTAAGGATGAAATGATGGAATTATCTTTTGATGAAAGTGCACTCTTTTGCAAAAAAAGTCGAAGCACAAGAAGCACTTTTGCGATCGTGACGAAATTTGGTATGCGAAAACATCTTGATCGAACATGCAAATGATCAAAGTTTCAAGGCAAATGAACAGGAAATGCGATAATAGCATGCGTTTCGGGTTTTCATCCGCAGAGAACCCGTTGGCGCTTCGGGAAAGAACCCGTTGGCGCCGTTGCATTCTTACTCGCCAAGCTCGCGGTTCATCGAGGATGAGCCGAGCCGTAAACGTGATTTTTAATGCATGTAAATTCAAGTTAGCAAATAAAACAATATGTTAAGCATATGGTAGTAAAAATTCAAAGATAATATGCATGTAGATGTAAAACTAAAGGGTTAAACATGATATACGAAAATAAATTTGTATTAAATTCAAGGGGCCCACCAGCGGCCGAGCGGTAAAGTCGCTGAACACTGGTAGTTCGGTCCGAGGTTCGAATCCCGCGAACGGGCTGGCTGCATGGGCGTTTTCGTGGTTTTCCCCATGTGTAACGTGTATACGAGCCAGTTTCCCTTAGAAAGTCCTCCACGAAAGGCATCCCTCCCCTTAGGCAGATAGCCCTAGTGTGCTTTGCCATAATTAAATACACCACATAAATACACGTATTAAATTCAAGTTAGCACAGAAAAGAATATATTATTAAGCATAAGACAATATATAAGCATTTATAACGGAAATAAAATTCATTTAAAAAATATAAATTAGTATTAATATACTGAAATTAACCGGTTAAACGTGATATACGAAAAAAATTTGTCTTAAATTCCAGTTAACACAGAAAACAATATATTTCTTACACCAGCAGTTGTTTGCTAATTTTCATGACCATGGCGATGCATCAAACTATTCTGTCATCTTAGATAATCAATATTTTTTTATTTCAATTTAATCATCTATTTATGTCACACCTGCCATCCTCTGAAAGGTTATTGTTAAAAAAGCATTAACAATATATTATCTTGTTAAAATTTTACGCCATAAAAATTGCTTTATTCTCATGATTTTAGATGACAATAACCAATAATAAAAATAAAAGCATTACTTAATTATTTTAAATGCACATGCACATTTTTGCGGTCTACGAAAACAAATTATTTTAGACTTTGGAAACCTCGTGGTTCTTAGAGCTGTTAATAATTAAGAACACAACGTGAACAGCGGTGTTACAAATTAGCATTCACCCCTCCTTTCATCCCGAACCGAGAACCGGCATCTATCTACGAAAATATTTCTATCTATTCGTTGTTAAAAAATTCAGAAAAAATAATAATAAATAAGAGAAGAATAATAAAAATCTGCAAATGCGAACAACGACAGTCTTAATTCAACAAAATAAACGCAAGAGGAATGGTTGCAAACTTCGTATAAGCGAATGGGATAAATCCGAAGGGTTACCAAGTTAGAACTATTATCGCCAAAGTTGGCGATGTTTACATTTACCGGGTTCTCTGCGGAAGTGCTTCCCGCGTTTCTAGTGCGCAATTCGCAAAGTATAAAACCAGTTATAGAGGCGGTTATCTTTTTTTGTTGCTGCCGTTGTAATTCCATAAAGAAGCAACTAAAGATGCCATTACGACGATATCGAAGACCTTACAGACTTACAGACAGCTAAACGACTTCGAACATGGTCGCACTTTAGGGTTGCGTGAAGCTAGGTGGTCATACCGTAGCCGCCATCAATAGGCCGCCATCTGCAGCGTACAGACACTGCTGTGCAAAGATGTTGGCAGCAATGGCTGCTACAAAGGAAATTGCCGATGAAACGAAAGCCAAGGAGCGAGGCAAGATAGGATGATTGTTCGCCAGGCCCGAACCGCCCCAACGGTATCATTGTCGACTATTTAACGCACTAGCGCTTGTCTGAGGCGGGGTTACGCTCACAGAGGCCTTTAAAATGTTTGGCTTTGACCCCACAACATAGGCGGAGTCGTCTGGAGTAGTGTCGTAGCCGATCATCATGGCTGCCATCAGATTGGCATCGTATAGTGTTCAGCGATGAATTCCGCTTTATTTGTGAAGCAGATGACCACCGTGTTCGTGTCTGGAGAGGACGGGGCCAGCGGTCCGTCTCAATCAGCCTTTGGTTTACACAAGTATACAACCATAACCCCTAACCCCTGGTGTGATGGTGGGGGCGCTATTTCTTATGACAGCAGGTCATCTTTAGTCGTCCTCCGTACATCTTTAACAGCTCAACGATATGTTGATACCTTCCTGCGGCCGGTTGCATTACCCTTCATGGCACGTCATCCTGAGGCCATTTTCCAATAAGATAATCCCAGGCCACATACCGCTCGCATATCTCTGGACTGTCTCCGTGCTGTTGATACTTTTCCTTGGCCAGCAGGGTCACCAGACCTTTCACCAATCCAGCATGTCTGAGACATGGTAGGCCGCCAGATTCGGGCACCACAAAATATCGCAGATCTAAAGCGGCCACTGATGAATGCCTGGCAGAAATGTCCCCAGGATAACATTAGTTCCTCTACCACTCCTTGCCTCGACGAATTCAAGCATGCATTGCTGCCAGGGGCGGTTCGACCAACTACTAATTTAAACACTTAGTGGGTGATTGTGAGCCGTGAACAGATAATATGACCTTGATTTTTTAATCATTTTAAATATTTCTCTACTGTAAATTTTAGTAAAGTAGTGTCGCAGCCGATCATCATGGCTGCCATCAGATTGGCATCGTATAGTGTTCAGCGATGAATTCCGCTTTATTTATGAAGCAGATGACCACCGTGTTCGTGTCTGGAGAGGACGGGGCCAGCGTTCCATCCCAATCAGCCTTTGTTTTACACAAGTATACAACCATAAGCCCTAACCCCTGGTGTGATGGTGGGGGGCGCTATTTCTTATGACAGCAGGTCATCTTTAGTCGTCCTCCGTACATCTTTAACAGCTCAACGATATGTTGATACCATCCTGCGGCCGGTTGCATTACCCTTCATGGCACGTCATCCTGAGGCCATTTTCCAATAAGATAATCCCAGGCCACATACCGCTCGCATATCTCTGGACTGTCTCCGTGCTGTTGATACTTTTCCTTGGCCAGCAGGGTCACCAGACCTTTCACCAATCCAGCATGTCTGAGACATGGTAGGCCGCCAAATTCGGGCACCACAAAATATCCCAGATCTGGAGCGGCAACTGATGAATGCCTGGCAGAAATGTCCCAAGGATAACATTAGTTCCTCTACCACTCCTTGCCTCGACGAATTCAAGCATGCATTGCTGCCAGGGGCGGTTCGACCAACTACTAATTTAAACACTTAGTGGGTGATTGTGAGCTTGTGAACAGATAATATGACCTTGATTTTTTAATCATTTTAAATATTTCTCTACTGTAAATTTTCAAAATAAAAATTGTTAATCAGCAAGGTCATGACTTGGGTATTGGCAATTCTCTGTTGGGTAGACGTTACAAATGATGTGCTTTTTTCTGATCTAGAATACGCTAGAACGTAATTTTTTTTGTGTGTGGGGGGGAGGAGGAGAGTGTTTGGGATTACTGCCAAAGGCTTAGGAGGCTTTGCCTAAAGGGAAGGATGCCTTCGTGGAGGACTTTCTAAGGCAAACTGGCTCGTATACACGTTACACATGGGAAAACCACGAAAACGCCCATGCAGCCAGCCTGTTTGCGGGATTCGAACTTTGGACCGAACTACCAATGTTCAGCGATTTTACCGCTCGGCCGCTGGTGGGCCGATAATGCTTCGGAAACTGATAAACAAAAAACATTGGAAAGAATCCAGAAGCAATCTTTGCGAAATGCATAAGACTTTAAATTTATCGCTTCCATACACCTTCATGCACAATGGATTCTCAGAGTAATTTTATTCGGAAAAGGTTTAAGGTCTTAAATTTATTTTTCAGATTTAATCCACGCGTTATTAATTAACAAATAGAATAAACGCACTTTTTGATAACTTAAATGCTTATTTTACTTTTTTATTATGTATCATCTATTTGATGTAAATTAAAATATACTCAATTTATAATATTTCGAATTGGCAGGTTTTACGAGCATTTGCAATTTTGTTGTAATTAATAAAAGATATTTATAACGTCATATGTCATGTAATTGACATATGACGCAGATTATATGCGTTGGTGCAGATTATATGCGTTTTTAATTTTAAAATTGTTTTATTTGAAATTAATTTATAAATTTTCTGATATTTTTATTGGTAAACCCTTCTTGTAGGTGTTACACTGTATTTTGAAGTCTTCAGTTAGCAATATTTTGGGTTCCTACCGAGCAGCAGTGAAAATCTGAATTTAAAATATTAACATTATAATGAAATGCATCAGAAAAGAAGCCATAAAC